AGTGTTTCTCAACCTTCCTAATGCCACGACCTCTTGATACAGTTAGTTTCTCATGTTTTGATGACCCCCAACCATAAAATTATTTTTGTTGTTACTTTCCAACTATAATTATGCTACTGTTATGAATTGTAATGTCAATATCAGATATGCAGGATGTATTTTAATTCACTGGACCAAATTTGAATACTGGTGGGGTTCAGGGGTGGCGGGAATTGATTTTGTCATTTAGGAGTTGTAGTTGCTAGGATTTATAGTTCATCTACGATCAAAGAGCATTCTGAACCCCACCAATGATAGAATTGGGCCAGACTTCCTACACAGAACCCCCATTTTTTTCTGTCGTGTCAGGAGAGACTTGAGAATCTGCAAGTCACTTCTGGTGTGAGAGAATTGGCCGTCTGCAAGGACTGCCCAGGATGATTTTTGATGTTTTTTTTATCATCCTTGTGGGAGGCTTCTCTCATGTCCCCGCATGAGGAGCTGGAGCTGGTAGAGGGAGCTCATCCGCCTCTCCCTGGATTCGAACCTGCGACCTGTGGGTTTTCAGTCCTGCCGGCACAGGGGTTTAACCCACTGCGCCACTGGGGCTCCTGGACAGGGGCATGTCAGGATAATTGTAAGTATTATATGTATGTTTTTCAATGTGTTAATAATGGATTCAGTTATGTTCAGTTTTGTTCATTTGTGCATTAGATTGTTATTATAAGAGAGAGAGAATATAGCCAGAGAGTAGAGTCCTTGAAACGAGATAACAGGAATTCCTTTGCTCTGGGAAGAAAAGGGAGTATACCAGCTAGAAGACAGATAAGGCAGGAGGGCAGATGTTTCTTTGTCTGTGTGTTTAGTGCTCTACTTTGTGAGTCGCCATTTTCAGCCGCCAAGATGTAGTCGTGTCTTGAAATGCTTTCAGTAAACTTTATTATTTTGAAACTTAAGAAGACTGCAGTGTGCTATGTGAGTCTGTGTGATCTAGTAACTTCAAGTACTCTGTACATGACCCAGGGGCATCACTGACAGAGCAGAACCCCTATGCTTTGAAGGGACTTGCTAGTGCGAGCCTCCCTCCAGCCTCATATGCTCTCCCTCACCCCACACATGCGCACCATGCTGCTATGCACCAAGCACGCCTGCTCTCCCCTCCCTGCTTGGAATCTCAGAAACAGCCCTCCCCTTGGCTGAGAAGCCAGCCAATCACAGTGGAGGAGAGCTTTTGCTAGGATGATTCGCCATGTGTTTCCAAAAAGGAAGCGAAGGACAGGTGAGACATCTTCAGCCAAAGGGGTTCTTAAGACTATCAGAAATATGTTTTCTGATGGTCTTTGGTGACCTCTCTGAAAACCACTGGTGACCCCCGGGTTGAAACATTGCTTTATGCCCACCAGCATTGAATCTGCATGGAATTATCCAGGTGGTCAGTGGACTCCTTCATTCCAATTCTCGGGGGGTGGCGGGTATTCTCATTCACTGGACCAAATTTGACACAAATACCCAATACGCTCAAATTTGAATACTGGTGGGGTTGGGTTGATTTTGTCATTTGGGAGTTACTAGGATGTATAGTTCACCCACAATCAAAGAGCATTCTAAACTCCACCAACGATGGAATTGAACCAAACTTGGCACACAGGACTCCCATGACCAACAGAAAATACTGGGTTTGGTAGGCACTGACCTTGAGTTTTGGAGTTGTAGTTCACCTACATCCAGAGAGCTCTGTGGACTCAAACAAGGATGGGTCTGGACCAAACTTGGTTTTTGCTTGAGGTTTTTGGCGACCCCTTTGACACCCCCTCACAACCCCCCAGGGGTCCCGACCTCCAGGTTGAGAAACGTTGATTTAGATCACTTTCAGTTGGGTTTTAGGTGCAGCCATGGGACTGAGATGACTTCGATCACCTTGGTTGGATGATCTATGTAGAGAGCTTGATAGGGGGAATGAGTCCCTGTTGGATCTCCTGGACCTCTACAAAACAGGAGCTTTTTTGTTGAATTCCAGGGCCAGAGAAGCAGATGGTGGAAACAGAAGAACGGCCTGCCTCAGGGGAGCGTGCTTGCTCCATCCATGTTCAACATCTTCACAAATGACCAGCCACTGCCAGAAGGGACAGAGAGTTTCATCTATGCTGATGATTGTGCCATTACCGCTCAAGCAGGGAGCTTTGAGACGGTAGAACAGAAGCTTTCCGAAGCTCTAAGTGCTCTTATGCCTATTACAGGGAAAGCCAGCTGATCCCTAACCCATCTAAAACACAGACATGTGCCTTTTATCTCAAGAACAGACAAGCATCCCGAGCTCTGAAGATCACCTGGGAAGGAATCCCACTGGAGCATTGCAGCGCACCCAAGTACCTGGGAGTCACTCTGGACCGTGCTCTTACCTACAAGAAGCACTGCCTGAACATCAAGCAAAAAGTGGGTGCTAGAAACAATATCATACAAAAGCTGACTGGCACAACCTGGGGATCACAACCAGATACAGTGAAGACATCTGCCCTTGCGCTGTGCTACTCTGCTGCTGAGTACGCATGCCCAGTGTGGAACACATCTCACCACACTAAAACAGTGGATGTGGCTCTTAATGAGACATGCCGCATTATCACGGGGTGCCTGCGCCCTACACCACTGGAGAAATTACACTGCTTAGCCAATATTGCTAAATAGCAGCCAATAGTGAAAGGACCAAGACAGAGACATCTCCAGCTCATTTCCTGTTTGGGTATCAGCCAGCACGTCAATGACTTAAATCTAGAAATAGTTTTCTAAGATCTACAGAGACACTCGCTGGAACACCTCAGCAAGCGAGAGTCCAAAAGCGGCAGGCTCAAAGTGGAATCCACGACATGCGAGTGTGGAGAAGAGCAAACCACTGACCACCTGCTGCAATGCAACCTGAGCCCTGCCACATGCACAATGGAGGACCTTCTTGCAGCAATACCAGAAGCACTCCAAGTGGCCAGATACTGGTCAAAGGACATCTAATCAACTACCAAACTCACAATTCTGTATTTTGTCTGTTTGCTTTGTTCTGTTATAATCGACTGGTTGACCTGACACGATAAATAAAAAATAAATCCTGGACCTCTCAGTGGCCTTTGATACCATTGACCACAGTATCCTTTTGGGTCACCTGACTTGGATGAGGCTTGGAAGCACTGTTGCTGAGTACAGACACCCCCCCCCCCTCCTCGGTAAAATATTACGTTAATATAGTTGGCACCTCAGTGGGGAGTTCCACAGGTGGCGGGAGCCTTTTTTGTTCCAAAAATCAATTTCCGTGAATGATTAGCGGTCTGGAGGAGTCCAGCAGCAGCTACCAGTGTCCAGGAGGCTTCTCTGCAGCATTCTTTCCACATGTTCTTAATTATATTATCTTTTACCCCTAAATAAAAGGTTTATCCTTAACTTGTGCTTTCTTGTGTGTTGGATCCTTATTCACAAATCCTTATTTTTCCTTTTGATGCATGTTCTATATCAGGGGTCCTCAAACTTTTTAAACCGGGGGCCAGTTCACTGTCCCTCAGACCGTTAGTGTTTTTATTTTTTTAAATCAATAAAAAAAATCCTATGCACATTGCACATATCTTATTTTGCTGTGTGGAAGGGCCCTTAGAGGGGGTTCTTTCTAGCCCTTTTTAGGCAGTAATTCCAGGAGCAGAGAATGGGAAATCCAGGAACAATATGAACAATATCTGGCTACCTGTATTAAAAAAAAGATAAAATCATAACAGTAAATAAAGAACAACACTCAAAAACAGGGGAATTCCAGACAGAAACAATCAGGGACAGCTATCACCTTTCCAACAAAGGATTCTCCCAGGCAGTAGTAAGCCACACCTTTAAAACTGCTAAGCCATTAAAAAGGTGGCCAATTGAACATTCATACCTACCTCCCCCAGCAAGAGTTCTTTCTCCCACCTGGATCTTCCACAATTTGTTCCTATTTAAGAGGTTTTCCATCGCCGTTTCTGACTCTTAGGGCAGGGTAAGGGACACCAGGTGTTGCCCTCGCACTGTGAAAGTGGTACTTCAAACTCCACAGATGTCCGGGGTTGAGGCCTCGGCATTGGCCGAAGGTAAGCCTTTGGGTAAAGCCCGAGCCTCAAGGAATTGTGGGAGTTGAAGTCCACCACAGCTGGAGGGCCAAAGGTTCCCTACCCCTGCTCTAGGGTGTGGTGCTCATCTGCATTTCTAAGTCGAAGAGCTGCCGTTGTCCGTAGACACCTCCAAGGTCATGTGGCCGGCATGACTGCATGGAGTGCTAGGGCAGCCTCCCTTGGCTGGCTCACGTTGCCCATCGGGACTGACGGATAGCGTGAGCCTGCCAAGGGAGGAGGTGCTTTACGTGCGAGTAGGCCACGTGGAACAGCCTCCCTTGGCTGGCTCACGCTGCCCATCGGGCCTGACGGATAGCGTGAGCCAGCCAAGGGAGGGGCACTGTGTGTGGGGGGGGGGCGCTCCTCCTCTGCGGGCCGGATAAGTGCCCTTGGAGGGCCGGAAGTGGCCCGTGGGCCGTAGTTTGAGGACCCCTGTTCCATATCCTGCGTGCCCTGCATTCACCTAATCTTTGCCCTAATAACCCTGTGTCAACTCTATCTTCCCCTCAGATACCGAAACCTGTTGGGGTTCCCCCAGTATCCGTGGAACTATGATGTACGTCTTCCTTTTCCATGCTGCTCCCCCCCCCCCCCGATATTCACAGACCCTTGTATGTGTTTTAATGCGCTATGTTTTATATCAGCCATTGGAGAGCAGGAATTTGCTTCAAGAACGGGGAATGCTCTCCTATTAGCCAGCGGGCACCTCTGCAAGGATTCCTCCCACACCTTTTCCTACATCATCGGAGCCCAACTAATCATGATGAAGCCAGGTTCAGCTGGGCGGGAGTGGGAATTTCAAAGGACTTTTGTGTTTTAAAATGCATGTTCTGTACTGTACGGTATCTCAGTTTACTTTGGTGGACAACCGCAGGCTGGCATCACTTAATAAACTAGCTTGGTGGCTCAATTTGGTGAGATTTATTTGGGAACATTCGGCGTCTTTGCTCGCCAGGTGCACGGACCTACAGGAAGGCGGTCACCAATACCAGTAACCGCTTATCAGGACTTGGTATCCATGTTTCAGGTATCTGGGGCTTGGATCTCACCACCCGTGGCCGCTTTAAACAGCTCTAATTTCAGCACTGTTTTAAACAAGTACATTAAATTATTAAAATAAATTAAAATAAATTAAAATAACTAAATAATTAAACAGAGTTCAATATTGTTTCCGTCTTTTTCACCAGACTCATTTTCTTTCTCTCCTAACGAAAGACGTTATTTCACTAATTTGTTTAGGAACTTTGGTGCGCGTCGGAACAGCTTCTGAGCATCCAGGAAGGCCTCCGTCAACTCCTTCTTCCATTGGACGAATTCAGGTTCACTCTGGGAAACGGGGTCAGGAATTAAAAAAAAGTAAATAATAAATTAATAAATATAAATATAAAAAATAATATTAATAATAATATTATATATATATATATATGTGTGTGTGTGTGTTCTACATCTATACATTCTATATCTATATATCTATTGTTTGTACGTATGTATGTTTGTATGTATGCGGTGGTGTATGTGGCAGTTTTCTGATTAGCTGCCATTTTCACAGACCACTGTGACCCCCACCAATGACAGATCAAGTCCAAACTTGGCACACAGACCCCTCATGACCCACCCTGCATCCTGGTGCTGTTTGTAGGAGGATAGACTATGGACAATGGGACTCGCAGTACCTTCACTAACTTCCTGAGAACACTGCGTGCCACATAAATAACTGATAAAGACCAACCTTGGCACACAATGCCTTTCTCAAATAACCTGTGCACCGCTGGGTCCCCAAGCTAGTATAAAATAAAAATTATAATCATATAATATGATCTATACACATAATAAAAGTGAAAAATGTGTATGTGTTTATGTGGTGAAGGTGTCCACTTCCACAGAAAGACTCCAGGTACCTCAAAGAGCTATGGGTCTCCCTCCAATGTACATTACAGGTTACAGTTAGCACCACGTCCCACACTTCCTTTCTTTTCCCATTGATGTGGAATTCACACCCTGCCCACTGCCTCTCCCTTAATCCTTTCCTATCATTTCCTATGGTGCACAGCAAATAGTGGAAGTGATCAGCAACTGAACATACTGGAGGGGATTGAGTGATGGACTCAACAGGATGGAAGTCATAGTTCACCCTGCATGAAGACAGAACTGTGACCCCCACCAACAATGGACCTGGACCCATTTGGCACACAGAACCCCCATGACAATGTTTGGGGGGAATTGACCTTCAATTACAGAAGTTGTACTTCACCTACATCCAGTTGGGATCCAGTGTCACCAGTTGGGAGTCCGTCCCCCAGCACAACTGCTGCTCTGGGACCAGAGAGAAAGGAGGGGGCCAGGAACATAGTTCCACCTTGTCTCCTGTGCTATGCTAGTAATATAATATAATATAATATAATATAATATAATATAATATAATATAATATAATAATTTTACATAAATGTAATATGTTTTGCATAAATATAATATTGATATTATAATGCAGCGGTTCTCAACCTGGGGGTTGCGACCCCCAGAGGGGTCATTTGGCAATTTGATAGGGGTCGCGGAGCCCCTCCTACACGCCCCATGCACCACCCAAAGGGTGCCAAAAAGGCCCCAAGAAACCTAGATCTTCTCCCGGCATTGGAAAGAGTGTGGTGAATTAGGGCTTGGGGAGGGAGCGCGTGCCCAGGGGACAGTGGAGGGAGCACGCTCTTCCCCCACCCGCTTGCGAATACAGGGAGAGGGACACTCTCCGGTGTTGAAAAGTGTGCGGGGGAAGAGAGCTGGTGCATGGTGCGTCTTCCCTCCACCAGCCTTTCCCCCGTGCACTTGCGAATGCCGGGAGAGGGACGCTCGCCGGCATTGGAAGCGCACGGAGGAATAGGGCTGGCATGCTCCCCAGCACTGGCTCCCTTTCCGCTGCAGGGAGCATGCGCCTAAGGCCAGTGCTGGGAGCGCGCCAGCCCTATTACCCTGGTGTTTCCAATGCCAGGAGAGGGACACTCTCTGGCATTGGAAGCGTGCAGAGGAATAGGGCTGGCGTGCTCCCCAGCACTGGCTCCCTTTCCGGTGCAGGTACCCAAGGCCAGTGCTGGGAGCGCACCAGCTGTATTCCCCTGCACGTTTCCAATGCCGGGAGAGGGACGCTCTCCGGCATTGGAAGCGTGCAGAGGAATAGGGCTGGCATGCTCCCCAGCACTGGCTCCCTTTCCGCTGCAGGGAGCATGCACCTAAGGCCAGTGCTGGGAGTGCGCCAGCCCTATTCCCCTGGTGTTTCCAATGCTAGGAGAGGGACACTCTCCGGCATTGGAAGCGTGCAGAGGAATAGGGCTGGCGTGCTCCCCAGCACTGGCCCGCTTTCCGGTGCAGGGAGTATGTACCCAAGGCCAGTGCTGGGAGCGCACCAGCTGTATTCCCCTGCACGTTTCCAATGCCGGGAGAGGGACGCTCTCCGGCATTGGAAGCGCGCGGAGGAATAGGGCTGGTGCGCTCCCCAGCACCGGCCCCCTTTCCGGTGCAGTGAGCATGCACCCAAGGCCAGTGCTCGGAGCGCGCCAGCCCTATTCCCCTGCGCACTTCCAATGCCGGAGAGTGTCCCTCTCCTGGCATTCGCAAGTGCATGGGGGAAGGGCCGGTGGAGGGAACACGCACCGTGCACCAGCTCTCTTCCGGACATTTTCCAACACCGGGGAGTGTCCCTCTCCCTGGGTTCGTAAGCGGGTGGGGTAAGAGCACGCTCCCTCCACTGTTCCCTGGGCATGCGCTCCCTCCCCCAGCAAAGGCAAATGCGCGGGGTAAGATGCTGCCACCGGGATGCTTCCTGCACATGGCTGCACTGCGCGATGGTGGGCCTCTCCTGGAGGCTGGGCCTGCACCCTTCTGAGGGCCAGCACGGAGGCCTCTCCTATCAGCTGTGCCTCCAGGCAGTGGGAGAGAGTCCAGTGATTTGGATGTAGAGTTGAAGTGATTGAAGGTACTGCAAATCCCATCATCTGTTCTACATCATCCCCCAAACCCCTCCAGTATTTTGTGGAGCTCAGAATGCTTGTGGCTGGTGAACTATAAATCCACACAACTGCAACTCCCAAATGTCAGGGTCTGTTTTCCTCAACCCTCTCCAGTATTTTCTGTTGTTCCTGGAGATTGTGTATGCCAAGTTTGGTTCAGTTCAATTGTTGGTGGAGCTCACAATGCTTTTTTATTGCAAGTGAACTATAAAACCACACAACTGCAACTCCCAAATGTCAGGGTCTGTTTTCCTCAACGCTCTCCAGTATTTTCTGTTGCTCCTCGGAGTTGTGTATGCCAAGTCTGGTTCAGTTCAATTGTTCGTGGAGCTCAGACTGGTTTTTTATTGCAAGTGAACTATAAATCCACACAACTGCAACTCCCAAATGTCAGGGTCTGTTTTCCTCAACCCTCTCCAGTATTTTCCGTTGCTCCTGGGAGTTGTGTATGCCAAGTTTGGTTCAGTTCAATTGTTTGTGGAGCTCAGAATGCTTTTTTATTGCAAGTGAATTATAAATCCGCACAACTGCAACTCCCAAATGTCAAGGTCTGTTTTCTTCAACCCTCTCCAGTATTTTCTGTTGCTCCTGGGAGTTGTGTATGCCAAGTTTGGTTCAGTTCAATTGTTCGTGGAGCTCAGAATGTTTTTTTATTGCAATTGAACTATAAAACCACACAACTGCAACTCCCAAATGTCAGGTTCTATATTCCCCAAACTCCACCAGTGTTCAAATTTGGGCATATTGAGTATTTGTGCCAAGTTTGGTCCAGATCCAGTCATTTGGGTTCACAGTGTTCTCCAGATGTAGGTCAGCTGCATCTCCTGTAAATCACTGTCGGGTTGATCATGGGGTGTGCCAAGTTTGCTCCAGGTCGGTAATTCGTGGGGGGGGGGGGGGTCTCAGTGGCCTGTGGAAGTCAGAACTGAATCGGTTGAATGTACTGGCAATCCCATTATCAGTTGTCCATACTCCCCCAAACATATTGTTTATGTGATTAATCACTATGCTTTAAGTATGTTCAATTTGTAACAATGAAAATACATCCTGCATATCCGATATTTACATTACGATTCATAACAGTAGCAGTTTTGAAGTAGCAACAAAAATATGGTTGGGGGTCCTCACAACATGACGAACTTTATTTAGGGGTCACAGCATTAGAAAGGTTGAGAACCACTGTTATAGAGTGTGGGAAATGTTTTGCTGACAGTTCCGCCTTGGTGAGCCAAAAAAGAGTCCACACAGCAGATAAGCCATACCTATGCCAGGAGTGTGGGGAATGTTTTGCTCAGAGTTCATACTTGATGAAGCACAAAAGAGTCCACACAGGGGAGAAGCCATACCAATGCCAGGAGTGTGGGAAATGTTTTGCTCACAGTTCAGCCTTGGTGAGGCACAAAAGACCCCACACAGGAGAGAAGTCATACCAATGCAAGGAATGTGGGAAATGTTTTGCTTGCAGTTCAGACTTGGTGAGCCATAAGAGACTCCACACAGGTGAGAAGCCATACCAATGCAAGGAATGTGGAAAATGTTTTGCTTGCAGTTCACATTTGGTGAGCCACAAAAGAGTCCACACACGAGAGAAGCCATGTGATGTATAATTTGATTGTTTTAACTGTTTTATAATTGCTGTTGATACATATTTTATCTTATTGTCTGTTGTTGGCATCGAATTGTGCCTTTTGTAAGCCGCCCTGAGTCCCCCCTCGGGGGTTGAGAAGGGCGGGGTAGAAAGGCGCGAAATAAATAAATAATAAATAAATACAATATAATACTAATAATAATATATTAGGTAAAAGGTAAAGGTAGTCCTCTGACACTAAGTCCAGTCATGTCTGACTCTGGGGTGTGGTGCTCATCTCCATTTCTAAGCCGAAGAGCCAGCGTTGTCCGTAGACACCTCCAAGGTCATGTGGCCGGCATGACTGCATGGAGCGCTGTTACCTTCCTGCCGAAGCGGTACCTATTGATCTACTCACATTTGCATGTTTTCGAACTGCTAGGTTGGCAGAAGCTGGAGCTGACAGCGGGAGCTTACGCCGCTCCCCGGAATCGAACCTGCGACCTTTTGATCAACAAGCTCAGCAGCTCAGTGCTTTAAACCACAGCGCCACCGGGGGCTCCAATGATATATTATAATTATATATTTTATAATACATGTAATATTTCTAATAATATTACAGTATAGTATAGTACAATATACTACTATATAATGTAAGCCGCTCTGAGTCCCCTTCCGGGTGAGAAGGGCGACATATAAATGTTGTAAATAAATAAATACATTCAGGCAGTACTCTGAACCCAACCAACAATGGATCTGGACCACACTTGCTATGGATGATGGGATTTGCAGTACTAGAGGGGATGTGGTTTTAAAAAGGGAATTTTCAGAGATGTTCCCAATGCCTATATGTCATGATTTACTGCCATACTGGCCTGTTTCTGCAATAGGGCTATGCAGAAATAGCCCAACTGCAATAGGGCTATGCAAAGAATGCTGATTCTTTGAGAAAACTGTTGCAGAGAAGAAGTTACTATGAAAGGATAACAGTACATCCGGTCAAAACCAGCTAGCTGGTGGCTACTTAGAACCTCCAAGTTTCCCAGTCGCTCTGGAGCCATGTTTGCAACAGACTAACAGATAAGATACAGTCATGGTCAGAGAACAAACAACAGATTATGGTTGTGCTATAGTTATGCCATTGTTAGGATCCCATGTGTCAATCAAATCTAAAACAATCAATGAGCAACTGCATAGTTAGCTTAGACCAATGAAATGATTTGATTTTGGATGGACCAGGGATGATGGTAATTGCAGTACCTTCACCCACTTCCATAAACTACTGTGACCCCCACAAATGACAGGCCTGGACACAAAACCCCCATGACCAATAATAATAATAATAATAATAATAATAATAATAATAATAATAATAATAATAATAATAAACCTTTATTTATACCCTGCTACCATCTCCGGAAGGACTCGGTGCGGCTTACAAGAGGCCGAGCCCAAATACATCAGTAAAACACAACAGTACAACAATAATTTAAAAACCTCATAAACAAAGCAAAAAACATAAACAATAACACTGGGGCGCATTAAAACCTGTGGCAGGGCCAAATATAGCACTTAAAATCTTTAAAAATGTTGGGCATGATCAGGTGAAAGAGGATAGATATTTTAGGGATAGGTGGGGCGTGCAGGCAATTCTAGATCTTTAGTAAAGTGCATTTGGGACATATTGCTTGGAGTTTCCTTATTCTGGAAAGGCACACTGGAACAACCACGTTTTCAAGCTCCTTCTAAAGACTGCCAGCGTTGGGGCATGCCTGATGTCCTTGGGGAGTGAGTTCCAGAGTCAAGGGACCACCACCGAGAAGGCCCTGTCCCTCGTCCCCACCAATCGCGCTTGCGATGCAGGTGGGATCGCGAGCAGGGTCTCTCCAGATAATCGAAGAGATCGTGTGGGTTCGTACACAGAGATGCGGTCACGCAGGTAGGCGGCTTTGTAGGTAAGTACCTGCACCTTAAATTGGGACCGGAAAATGAACGGCAGCCAACAACAACAACAACAATAAACTTTATTTATACCCCGCCACCATCTCCCCCACGAGAAACACCAGAGTCCCCAAACGACAATTATACTCATCTGAGACTTAAGCTCTAATGGCATCACTACAAACAACCTATTACCATCTACACAACAATTACAAGAGGTGGGTGCAAACATTAGGAGTAAGACATCCCAAACATGGTCCCATAGCTCAGCAAAGGGGACCACATCCCACCCAAAAAATGGTTGTGTTATCAGTGCCGGCAGGTCGCAGGTTTGAATCCGGGGAGAGGCGGATGAGCTCCCTCTATCAGCTCCAGCTCCTCATGCGGGGACATGAGAGAAGCCTCCCACAAGGATGATAAAACATCAAATCATCCGGGCGTCCCCTGGGCAACATCCTTGCAGACGGCCAATTCTCTCACACCAGAAGCAACTTGCAGTTTCTCAAGTCGCTCCTGACATGACAAAAAACAACACCAACACCAACAACAACAACTAAACAAAAAACAAAAAAAACCCCATCTCCCAGATGGGGATTCTTGAGCGGCTTACATGAGGCCAAGCCCAAACAACAAATTACAACAGAGTAAAACCGAAAACACAAACAATAAACAACACAATTACATAAAACATGTGAATACATAACAATATAAAATTACAATAAGCACAATCACAGTGACAATGGGCGGGCTACATGTAATGATTAAAAGAAAAGTGATTAAAAACTAATTAAAAACTCGGGCGAGATAAAAGAGAAGCAGGTTATTTGCGGAGGAAGGCTCATTATAGCGGGGGTTTTGGAATCAAGCTTTCCCACAAGGGGCGGGGGACGTAAACTCCAATGACAGAACGTTGAGGCTAAACAATAGTGTGGGATTGTATACCTACTCCTCAAAGGCACAGCGGAAGAGCCAGGTTTTAAGGTTCTTTTTAAGGTTTCTAGAACATACATAACATACTACAAGGGAGCTGTATTTCACCCTGCACCAAGAGCACTCTGAACCCCACCAATGATAGATCTGGACCAAACATAGGGAGGACTAACCCACCCGCATGGAAGTTGTAGTTTACTCTGCACCCAGAGAGTATTCTGAAGCCCCCAATGGTGGAGCTGGAACACAATGGCACATAGAACCCTGATGGCCAACAGAACATACTGGAGGGGTTGGGAATGGACTGACCCAGACTATGATTTCAAACCTGCGTTATTTAAACAATGTTTTAGTAATTTTATGTTTTAATTGCTTTTATGATTTCTTACTGTTGTTGGCATTGAATGAATGCCTGTTGTGAAGCTGCCCTGAGTCCCCCTCCAGGGATGAGAAGGACGAGATACAAATAGGCAGAATAAATAAATCAATGACCCACCTGCGTGGGAGTTGTATTTCACCTTGCACCCAGAGAACTCTGAACCCCCTCAATAACAGATCTGGGCCAAAAATTGGCACACAAACCCAACATGCCCAACTGTGAATACAGACGGAGTTTAGGGGTAATTGCCCTGAGAATCTGGGAATTGTAGTTCACTTGCATGCACAGAAATGGTGACCTCCGCAGACAATGAACCGGGACCAAACTTGGCACAGAGAAGCCCCATGACCAACTGAATATACTGCAAGGGTTTGAAGGAGTTGACCTTGATTTTGGGAGTTGTAGTTCACCTGCATCCAGAGAATCCAGCACTGAACCCAGTCAATGTCGGATCTGGAGCAAACTTGGCACAGAGACCCAACATGGCCAAATGTAAATACTGGCACGGTTTGGGGGTGACTATCATTGGCATATGGGAGTTGTAGTTCACTCTTATCCAGAGAGCAGTAAACCCAGCTGACAACAGATCTGGACCACACTTGGCACACACACCCATGGCCAGCCTTGCATACAGGTCTGGTTTGGGGAGGACTGAACTACAATTCTGGGAATTATAGTTCACCCATATCAATATGTATTTTCTAATGGGAGCATTCATAAAAAAAGAAATCAAAGACTGCCTTTTTTCTAAGTAACTAAATGATATTAGTAAACAAACAATGTTTTCTTCAAATAAATGGGTACCCAAGATGGCTATAATATAAAATAAATAATAAAAAATGATAATAATAAAATGAAATATATATATATATATAAATAAATAAAATAATAAAAATAAAACAATAATAAAATAAAAATGATAATAACAATATAATAAAAATACAAAATAAAACATAATAAATAATATGGTAATATGATGATAATAATAATAAGAAGAAGAAGAAGAAGAAGAAAATGTAACAGCGCATTACCTCACATTGAAGGATGAACTGCTTCCCTCCTTTGATCCGGAACAAGATGCACTTCTTGTCCTTGACCTGTGTTTCCTCCACCGACAGGATCTGCTCCATTGTCAACAGGCTTTGCTGCAGGGGGGAGGGGGGCGGGGCAAAAAACGAGGTTGAGGTCAAGGTTCAAACCCCAAGGGTCAAGTGTCAAAGTTCACAGAAACCCAAACGGATAATCCCAATAATTGGAATTATCTTGGAGGTGGTTCTAATACGACACCCCACAACAAAGGACTAGAAAACACAAATTGCGGGGAGTCGGGGAAATGCGGAATTCCCTTTTGTTATATATTTTTAGTAAATATTATTTTATGTATTATTTATTGCTTAATATTTACTAAAATAAATCCCTATTAGCATTTAAGAAATTTATTTAATTATTTCCTTATTTAACAAATACCTTATTGCATACATGTATATGTGTGTGTGTATATATATAAAACATTATCAATGATTATTATTAAAACTAAAAACTAAAACCAAAAACTTCCTAGAACCAAAAGAATTTCAGGAATTGCCGCAAAGGGTTATAATAATAATATAAATAATAGTAATAATAATAAAATAATAATAATAACACTATATTGTTGTTATTATTATCATTATCATTATTATTGATTTTTGTGTTTCCTTACCCGTTTGTGCTTTTTTGAATAAGTGCGCCAGATATCCTAAAATGGAGTTGTAATGAGTTAATAACAATTAATAAATATTAATAAATAATGAATAATGAATCATTTATATCCCACTTTATTTATTTATTTACTTGCTGTATTTATACCACAAGGGGTGTGTGTGTGTGTGCATATATACTCTAACCCCTTCGTGCCATAGCCATCGCTCGGGAGGTGCCTGCAAACGCCGTGGTGTCTCAGGGGGCATTTGCAGGCACAGAGGGCTTTCCATGGTTCTCTACTGGGCTACTGGGCCCGGGGAAGGGGGGCTCTCCTCTGCCCCCGGGTCTGCTTGCACAGTGGTGAGTTGACAGGGGTGGAAGTGAGCCCCCCCGCAGGCCCGCAGGACCAGCAGCGGCCTAGCGGTAGCCAAGCAATGGGAAGGCAGAAGACGATCAAAGGTCCTCCCACGCCTGCAATCACAGTGGCGGCTCAAGGGGCATTTGTAAGCACAGGAGAGGGCCCTCCACTATCTTCCGCCAGGTTACTGGTCCTGTGGGCTCAGAAGGCTTCTCCTCCACCCCCAGACGTGCTCACACAGTGGCGTGGCAGAGGAGAGTTCCCACCCGCTCTTGTCGGGCCTTCTGGGTCAGCAGCGGCCTAACGGCAGCCCAGCAACTACCCAACAGAGGATGATGGAAGACCCTACAGTGCCTGCACACTCAGCGGCGGCCCAGGAGGCATTTGCAAGTGCAAGAGGGCCTCCCTTCATCCTGCATCAGGCTGCTGCTGGGCTGCAGCTGCTCCTGCAGGCCTCGAGGCCCCCCCTCCACCCCCGGGTGGGCAATGGAAGGCCCTCCCAGGCCTGCTTGCACAGTGACGGGTTGGCGGGGTGGGGGAGAGGTGCTTCCGGGCCCACAGGAACAGCAGCGGCCTAATGAAAGCCCAGCAACAGCTTCTGAGGTAAGCCGCCGCTGCTTCCGCGGGCTCGGGGACCTTGCAACCGCCCCCTAAGCCACCGCTCTGGGAAGGCATTCCGTTGTCTTCCGCTGGGTTGATACAGGGCTGCTGCTAGGCCACTGCTGTCCACTAGGTCCGGGGGGGACGGACGACCTGGCATATAAGACGACCCCCCTTTGAAAGGATTTTCCAGGGTTAAAAAGTCATCTTATATGCCGGAATATACAGTGTGTGTGTTGTAGTAGAGCCTGTTAGTAACGCTGCAAGTGGTAGTGTGGGTGTCAGAAGGGGGGAAATGAGTGCTCGTGAGCAAGAGGTATTTGAGGAACAATAAAGGAAAAAGATCTGGGATATACTTATGGTTTCTACCGATGAAGACTCCTTTGAAGGGTTTTCTGATAGCGAAGGGTCAATGAGTGAGGGAGAGGAAGGAGATACGGTGGATGTGAATAGGGGAACTAAGAGGATTACTCGGGAGCAGGAATTGGATGAGGAGCAACAAAGGAAGAAGATCTGGGATATACTTACTGCTCCCACAGATTCATGGGTTTCTCTAGGAGTGATGTGTCTGGGAATGATGAGGATGGGGATGACACACTGGATTGGACTAAGGTACAAGAGGTACAAGATGTATGTACTCAGCCAACGTCTAGTGACACATTTGTGGGGCTTTCTGGTGGTGGGGATTGGCAGTCGGGAGATACTTCTGAGTCTTGGGGAGATCTAAGTCTTGACAGAAGATGGAGGAGTTGGAGGGATGGGCATCGGAGTTTAGGTGTGGAGTCAAGGACAGCTGTAAGAGTTGATGATGGGGCGGAGGTCAGCTCATGTTCGGATGATGAGATGTAAGATAAAAGTAGGCTCTGAAATTGAGAATCTTTGCAGAAGGCAAAGTGTTGGTTTCGTGCCTTGGGTTTTGTCGCTGCTTATTTCGTGTTGGGATTTGGTCCTGGATCTGCAGGTTGCTGTCTCCGTTTGTGTGTGTTTCGACTCGGCTTGGATTCTTGTGAGTGCGGATTTCCCCTTCTCTGACTTCGGACCGGTTTTGACTACGGCACTGCATAAGTGGATTTTGGTACCTCGCAACTTCGGACTTGGCTTACTTTGACCTCGGACTTCGTTTGACTACGTCTTCTTCTTTGCGGCTCTTTGTTCACCCTTTTCCTGCTGTGTTATTTTGTGTGACTTTTGAAGCGCTTTGTTTTAATCTGGATCTTTTCTCCGGATAATCCGGATTATTGCTTCAGTTTACCTTTTGAACTGGAACTAGTTGCTACTTTTGAGTTTTGACCAGAGACACTGAGTTAAGTGTCTCTGAGTCTCTTTTGCTTTGTTTAAATAAACTCTACTTTTGGACATACCCTGGAGTTTGGCTCTTTAAGGCGTCTGGGTTCCGACAGACGCCTTAATTGTATATTCCGGCGTATAAGATATATACACACACACACAATCTGTGATTTCTTTTCCACCGTTGTGATGTCTGGTGTATTGTATTCTAAAACTTTGTCAGTCTGTATTTGAAAGTCCCACAGTATTTTTGCGCAATAATAATAATTATAATATCTATTTATACCCCCACTTTATCTCTCCACAAAGAAGACAGACACACACATTGTATATTTGTAATTATTAATTATTAATGAATAATAATATAATAATAATAAAATAATAATGACATTTACCCGCGAATCTCCCTCTGCACGCCATTCGAGTCGATTGGGGAAGAGATAGAAATACCTTCGCTGCCATTGCGTAAGGAAGGGATTCCCCAGTTTCAGCATGTAGCCATGCATAATACAGTCCTTCCCCAGAGCATAATCTGCAAAGAAAATTACAGTATTATTTCTCCAATTACTTGAAAAAGCGGGGTATGCATGAATGATTGAATAATAATAATAATGTGTGTGTACGTATATGGCGGAGGCAGGGCCGTAGTCAGAAATAAATTTCAGGAGGGGTTGAAATTTTCGGGAGGGGGGGTTTGAACATTTGGGGGGGGGGTTGAAACCTGCCTCCTAGCTCATGCTGAAGCAAAGAGCACAGCAGAGGGCAGAGCAGCCTTCAGTAGTCTGCAGCTCCGCCCCTGTCAACCACCTCCACCAAGTCTGGCCTCCTTAATGAGAACATTCAACACACACACCCCACAATGACAGTAATAATAATAATAATAATAATAATAATAATAATAATAATAAACCTTTATTTGTACCCTGCTACCATCTCCCGGAGGACTCGGTGCGGCTTACAAGAGGCCGAGCCCAAATACAACAGTAAAAACAAAAACAACAATACAGCAAAATAACTCAAAAACAAGGAAATAACATTAACAACACACCATGGCGCAATTAAAATCTGTGGCAGGGCCAAATGTAATAATTAAAATTAAAAAGTACTGGGCATGTCCAGGTGAAAAGGGTAGGTGTTTGGAGTGGGATGGGCATGCAGTTATCCTGGCTGGGGCTTGCCTGATGTCCTTAGGGAGAGAGTTCCAGAGTCGAGGGGTCACCACCGAGAAAGCCCTCTCCCTCGTCCCCGCCAATCGCGCTTGCGATGCAGGTGGGATCGTGAGCAGGGCCTCTCCAGATAAACGAAGAGATCGTGTAGGTTCGTTCACAGAGATGCGGTCACGCAGGTAGGCGGGTCCCAAACAGTGTGAATAAATGTCAATATTTGCCTGAGATAGTGCTTGCAGTTCTGGGGGGACTCTTAATTTTTTGCATCTCATAGATTTAGCATGGGGATTTGGTTAACCAGTTAAAATTCATGAATACGCCAGGTTTTTAAAAAAATCTGAAACATTTTGGGGGGAGGTTGAACCCCTAACCCCCCCCCCCCCCTCGCTACAGGCCTGGTGTATTAATAATCTCAATGATTGTTTTTATTGAGATATGTATTATATATGACATCTAATTGTTGCCGGTCTCTACGCCACCCTGAGTCGCCTTCGGGCTGAAATGGGCGGGATAGAAATGTCGTAAATAAATAAATAAAGCAATATGAAATGGTTACCTTCCTGGTGGCCAAGGAGTCTGTTCTTGGCTCGTTTTCGGGATTCGATTTTGTCTGTTTCGGCGTTGACCACTTCGAAGATGGTTTCAGCCACTTCCTGTTGCCAACGCTCCGAAATGACCAATGGGAAATTCCTATACAGTTCCTGGTCACTGTCCAGTAACTAGAAAATTATTATTATTATTATTATTAATAATAATAATAATAATAATAATAATAATAATAATAATAATAATAATATATTTATGCCCTGCTTTATCTCTCCCCAAGGGGACTCAAATATATATTACTATAAATATATTACTATACTACATTATTTTATATTTATTTATATCCTGCTTTATCTCTATTATTATTATATTTTTAATTAACATTTCCAATATATTAGTTAATTATTGGAGTAAAGATAATAACAATAGTAAAATTAATGTAAAATAAAAATAAATATAATTTTTATTGCAATATATGTATAATAGTAGAAATAGTAATAAATATGATAATAGGAATAAGAATAGAAATAATATATATTAATACATATAATAGGAATGATAATTGTAATATTACATATAATACATATAACAGTAATAATGATACAAATAAAAATATAAATATTTAATATACTTGTTAATATATATAATAGTAGTAGTACTAACAAACTTATTCATAATAAATATAATAAATACAGGGTTAGTCAAAATGAATAGGCCAATAAGAAAATTAATTTTAGACGAATGTATGTTTACTGTAACCAAACCACAGCTACGTAGCGACAGATAAACTATCAAAGTTTTTTTTGAGCAACACATGTACGTTAATGCCGCTAGGCGTCGCTAGGGGTCGCTGTTTTCAAAATGGCGGAATCAAGCAAAGAGAAGGCGTTTTGTGTGATGACATTTGCTAAAACAATGTCAGTAATTACGGTCCAGCGAGAATTTCAAGGGTTAGGGTTAGGGTTAGGGTTAGGGTTAGGGTTAGGGTTAGGGTTAGGGATAGGGTTAGGGTTAGGGTTAGGGTTGGTAGGGTTAGGGTTAGGGTTAGGGATAGGGTTAGGGTTAGGGTTAGGGTTAGGGTTAGGGTTAGGGTTAGGGATAGGGTTAGGGTTAGGGATAGGGTTAGGGTTAGGACCTCAACGAACACCTTCCCAGACGTTGCTGCATTCGATGCCATTACGTCGGATGTGCTGCAACGGATGTGGAATGAACTGGACTATCGCTTGGACATCTGCCGTGTCACACGGGGCGCCCATATCGAACATCTCTGAAGGTGAGACAAAACTTTGATAGTTTATCTGTCGCTACGTAGCTGTAGTTTGGTTACAATAAACATACATTCGTCTAAAATTAATTTTCTTATTGGCCTATTCATTTTGACTAACCTTGTATACTACTTATAATGACGTATAATATCTAACAACAAACCAGGGATGAGATTGCAGCGCTGCCTAGTTTGGAAAAAGTCAGCAATGCCATCAGCCAAGAAAAAAATAATGAAGCCAGCAGACCTGATGGGATCCCTGCAGAAGTATTTAAAGAGGGTGGACCTGAGCTGGCACAACAACTTCACCAGATCATTGAAAAAGTGTAGGTGACCAAGATAATCTCAGCAAATTTCAAGGATGCTACCATCATCACCCTCTTTAACAAAGGGGAAAGAACAGACTGCGGAAACTATCGAGGTATCTCCCTTCTAACCTCTGCTGGGAAAATCCTTGCAAGAATCCTTGTAAACCACCTTCTACCCCTCTCAGAAGACACCCTCCCAGAATCCCAGAACGGCTTCCGGCCCTCCAGAGGAACCGTGGACATGATCTTCACTGCACAACAGATCCAAGAAAAAAGCAGGGAACAAAACGAGTGGAAATCATCTATCAGACAGATGACAAGCTATTTAACCTCAGCAGACTGAAAACCAAAACTAAGGTGACAACAACATATATTATGGATCTCCAATATGCTGATGACAACATTGTCTGTGCGCATTCAGAAGCCACTTTAAAACATCTTCACAGAAGTATAAGAGAAGCTCGGCCACTCATTGAACATCGAAAAAACCAAAGTGCTCTTTCAGTGGTCACCAGCCAATCCCTCTCCAATGTCAGAAATACAGCTTAATGGTGTAACATTAGAAGATGTTGACTGTTTCAGCAACCTTGGCAGTCACCTCTCCACCAAAGTCAACATTGACACTGAAATACAACACCACCTGAGCTCTGCGAGTGCAGATTTTTCTAAATGAAGCAGAGAGTGTTTGAGGATCAGGACATCCATAGGGATACAAAGGTGCTTGTTTATAAAGCCATCGTCTTCCCAACTCTGCTATATGCCTGCGAAACATGGACTGTCTACAGACGTCACACTCAACTCCTGGAACAATTCCATCAGCGTTGCCTCTGAAAAATCCTGCAAATCTCTTGGAAAGACAAGTGGACAAATGTCAGTGTACTGGAAGAAGCAAAAACCACCAGTATTGAAACAATGGTCCTCCGCCATCAACTCCGCTGGACTGGTCACATTGCCTGAATGCCTGATCACTGTCTCGCAAAGCAGCAACTCAACTCCCAACTCAAGAACGGGAAATGTAACGTTCGTGGATAGGAAAAGAGATTTAAAAATGGGCTTAAAGCGAACCTTAAAAACTGTGGCATAGATACTTAGATCTAGGAAGCCCCAGCCCTTGAGCACTCTAACTGGAGGTCAGCTGTGACTAGCAATGCTGCAGAATTTGAAGCGGCATGAATGGAGAGCGAGAGGGGGAAACATGCCAAGTGGAAGAAGGTGTGTCAAGCCAACCCTGAACAGGACAACCTTCCACCTGGAAACTTATGTCCTCATTGCAGGAGAACATATGGATCAAAAATAGGGCACAGCCACCTACGAATCCACCGCCAACAAACCAGACTTGGAGGACCATCATCTTTGGGCTACGAGGATCACCTAAGTAAAGTTAAGCATGGTTTTGTAAATTTACCTTGATTATGAAAGTTGTAGTTCACCCTTATCCAGTGAGCAGTCCACCTAGCTGACATCGGTTCTCGACTACAATTGGCACACAAACCCAACATGGCGAACTGTGCATACCAGCAAGAATTGGGGGCTATTGCCCTGGGAGTCTGGGATTTGTAATTCACCTTTATCCAGCGAGCACTAAACCCAGCCAATGATGTATCTGGACAAAACTTAAGTGATATTACCTAACATCCCAAAACAAAAAATGCCTTCTTCTAATAACCCAAACACTGCCAGGTCCCCAAGCTAGTATATAATAGTAATAACACTAATGTCAGATGATATTTCACCTTAATGCCTTTGGTGTCTTCCTCGTCAAAAGAGCCGATATCAAAAGCGTCAGCAGCATTGACTTCCCCTCGAGGTGGAACCAGGGGTGGAGAGTACTGGGGAAAGGAAGTAAGGACATAGTGGTATGAGGTCACTTCCTGTCATTCCAAAATGGCTCCCGATGATGGGAGGACATCTAAAAAGGTGATGGGAAGGCTTCCTATACCATTTAGACCTGGAAAAAGCATTTCCCCAAAAATAGGAAGTGGAACAGGTCGCTTCCTGTCATTAGAAAGTAACTTCCTATCATTCCAAAATGCCCCCCAATGAGAGGAAGGCATCTAAAAAGACTCCCTGTACCATTTAGACCCAGAAAAGCATTTTTTTCCAAAAGCAGGAAGGTCATTGGCCCCAAACTATGGGAGAACATCTAAAATGTGACTGAAAGACTTCTTATACTGTCTAGCCCCAGAAAAAGCATTTTTGCAAAAAAAGGAAGTGGAATGGGTCACTTCCTCTTGTTCCAAAGATATATTTCAAAATGGCCCCCAACAATGGGAGAACATCTAAATATGTGACAGAAATACTTCCTAGACCGTTTAGAACCTGGAAAAGGGATTTTACTGAAAACAAGAAGTGGAATGAGGTCACTTCCTGTCATTCTAACATGGCCACCAATGATGGGAGAGCATCTAAAATGTGACGGAAAGACTTCCTACACTGAAAAAACTTCCTGTACTGTTTGGACCCAGAAAAAAAATTTATCCATAAACAGGAAGTGGAATGGCTCACTTCCTGTCATTCCAACATCACTTCCTGCCATTCCAAAGTGGCTCCCAAATGATTGGAGAGCATCTAAAGACGTGACGGAAAGACTTTTTATACTATTAAAACCCAGAAAAAGCATTTTTTTTTCAAAAATAGGAAGTGGAATGAGATCACGTCCTGTCTAGATAGGAAGCTCACCTTTTGGAGACAGACATGCTGCCACTCGATCCCTTTGAAGAAAAGGTGCTCCTTTACCTCCTGGGCTCTGAAGAATAAACAGTTGAATAATTGAGTCAAATAATATATTACATTAATCAAGTCAGATAATATTTTGGTCTAATTTATGTATATCTGATTTAATATAATTTATATTATATCAATCGAGTCATGTAATGGAGGACCTAATTTATGGGGATTATATTATATATTATTAGAATATTATATCATATATATTTATTATATATTCGCTTGGAGACCCAGCAGTGCCCGTGCTACTTGAGAAGGGCTTTTTTTTGGGGGGGGGGGGGATTTGATAATATATCTGGATGCAGAGTGAACTACAACTCCCTCATGAGTGGGTCATTCCCCCCTAAACCCCTCCAGTACGTTATGTTGGCCCGGGTGAGTTGAAAAAGTCACTGTTTGTTTTGTAGTGTTCGGTTTCTTAGAAAAAAGCCAGTCTTCCCTGTTATTTCTTATGAATGCTCCCATTAGAAAATGCATAAGAATGTGGTGAAATGCAATCCCCAAAATTGTGGGCCAATCACCCCAAACCCCATCAATATTCAAAGTTGGCCATGTTGGGTCTGTGTGCCAGGTTTTGTCCAGATCCGACGTTGCCTGTGTTCAGTGCTCTCTGGATAAGGGTGAACTACAACTCCCAGATCAGAGGTCATTAACCCCCAAACCCCACTTGTATGAACAATTGACCATGTTGGGTCTGTGTGCCAGGTCTGGCCCAGATCTGACGTTGGCTGCGTTCAGTGCTCTCTCCCAGAACTACAACTCCCAGAGCCAAGGACAATCACCCCCAAACCAGATGTGTATGCACAGTTGCTATGCTGGGTCTGTGTGCCAAGTTTGGTCCAGATCTGACGTTGGCTGGGTTCAGGGCTCTCTTGAAAAGGATGGACTACAACTCCCAGATCCAAGGCCATTCAACCCCAAACCCTGTCTGTATGCACAGTTGGGCATATTGGGTCTGTGTGCCAAGTTTGGAGCAGCTCTGATGTCGGCTGGGTTCAGTGCTCTCTGGATAAGGCTGAACTACAACTCCCACCATCAAGATCCATTCCCCCAAACCCATGCAGTATGTTAGGTTGGTCATGGGGCTTCTCGGTGCCAAGTTTTGTCCCGGTACATTGTCAGTGGAGGTCACAGTTTCTCCAGATGCAGGTGAACTATGACTCTTTTCACTCTGTGAAAAGGATCTTGGAGTCCTCGTGGACAACAAGTTAAACATGAGCCAACAATGTGATGTGGCAGCAAAAAAAAAAGCCAATGGGATTTTGGCCTGCATCAATAGGAGTCTAGTGTCTAGGTCCAGGGAAGTCATGCTCCCCCTCTATTCCGCCTTGGTTAGACCACACCTGGAATATTGTGTCCAATTCTGGGCACCACAATTCAAGAGAGATATTGGCAAGCTGGAATGTGTCCAGAGGAGGGTGACTAAAATGATCAAGGGTCTGGAGAACAAGCCCTATGAGGAGCGGCTTAAAGAGCTGGGCATGTTTAGCCTGAAGAAGAGAAGGCTGAGAGGAGATATGATAGCCATGTATAAATATGTGAGAGGAAGCCACAGGGAGGAGGGAGCAAGCTTGTTTTCTGCTTCCCTGGAGACTAGGACGCGGAACAATGGCTTCAAACTACAAGAAAGGAGATTCCATCTGAACATGAGGAAGAACTTCCTGACTGTGAGAGCCATTCAGGAGTAACTCTCTGCCCCGGAGTGTGATGGAGGCTCCTTCTTTGGAAGCTTTTAAACAGAAGCTGGATGGCCATCTGTGAGGGGTGATTTGAATGCAATATTCCTGCTTCTTGGCAGGGGGTTGGACTGGATGGCCCATGGGGTCTTTTCCAACTCTTTGATTCTATCATTCCATGATTCCTCTCGGTCCCTCCCGTTGCCTTTGCAAAAGCGGGTGTTTCCAAGGCTTCCTCCCCTCAGCAAGCTTCAAAGGCAGCCGAGATAGACAACGATTCAGACAGAGCAAATGAAGGAAGGAAAGAAAGAGGTAGAGAAGTAAGAAAGGAGAGAAAGATGAAAAGGAAAGAAAAAGTGGGGACGGAAGGAAGGAGGGAAGGAAGGAATGAAAGAGAAAGAATGAATGAAGAAAAAAGACATAGGGAAAGATGGAGAGAAGGAGGGAGGGAAACAGGGAAGGAAGGAGGGAAGAAAGGAAGGAAAGAAAGAGGTAGAGAAGGAAGAGGAGAAAGGAACAGAAAAAAAAGGGGGGGGGGGAAAGATAAGGAAGGAAAGGGTAGAGAAGGAAGGAACCAGGCTGAGGCCACAGCAAGGCTAGTAATATAGTAATATTTTGCATATTATATAATATTATAATATCATATTATTAATAATATGAATTATATTGTAAAGCAAGATGGTGGCCGCCTCACCCGCGTCCTTTGCACCCAAGCCTCTTGTTCACATCCCGCAGAAGCAGTCCTTCCAATAGAGACTTGAGTTCTGGAGAAAACATGTCCGGCAAGTCCACATTCTATAGGAAGAGAATGCAGAGAGAAATATCACTGCTTCCTAATGCACCCCGTCAAGAAGTCGTTATGTGCAAAAATCATTCATCCTTACCGCGGTGAGAGTCATGCGGTCAATCTCGTTCTTGTCCTTCGTTTTGTGTTGCCTGAAAGGACTGTGACTAGAGGAAATAATGCAAATAATCTATATAAATAAAAATGTAATGTTCGTTTGTGGGATTAACAGAACTCAAAAACCATTGGACGAATTGACACCAAATTTGGACACAAGACACCTAACAACCCAATATATGTCCTTCACTCAAAAAAAATAATAATTTTGTCATTTGGGAGTTGTAGTTGCTGGGATTTATAGTACACCTACAATCAAAAAGGATTCTGAACTCCATCAATGATGGAATTGAACCAATCTTGGGACACAGAACTCCCATGACCAACAGAAAATACTAGAAGGGTTTGGTGCGCATTGACCTTGAGTTTGGGAGTTGTAGTTCACCTACATCCAGACAGCACTTTGGACTCAAACAATGATGGATCTGGACCAAACTTGGCACAAATATTTCATATGCCCAAATATGAACACAGATGGAGTTTGCGGGAAATAGACCCTAACATTTGGGAGTTGTAGTTTCTGGGATTTATAGTTCACCTACAATCAAAGAGCATTCTGGACCCCACCAACGACAGAATGGCCAACAGAAAATACTTAAGGCCATCCAGTCCAACTCCCTTCACCAGGGCAAGAAAATGTAATCAAAGACCTCCTGACAAAGAGCCATCCAGCCATAGATATGGATGGATAGATATGATTCACACACAGGTAGATATAGTATAGATCTGGAAGGGACCCCTAAAGAAGGACAATTATATGTTGTATGTTCCAGAGTAGTAATGAGAATACTGACAAAGAAACAGCAAGAATTACTGTTTACCCGCAAGCATAAAGAAATTACATATATTAGAAACCCACACTTTCTCATTACTTTATTTCCAGATTAACAGACTGGGCCACAGCAACGCGTGGCAGGGGACGGCTAGTAATAATATAAAAACGGTGTCACTGTCTGTCATTTTTCCTAAAACAGGAAGTGGAATGAGGTCACTTCGTGTCCTTCCAAAATGGCCCTCAATAATAAGTTTCAAATACTTTTTAGACCCAGAAATAACACTTTTCCTAAAACATAAAGGGGAAAGGGGTCACTTCCTGTCATTCTGAAATTGCCCCAAATGATGGGAGAACATTTGAAAATATGATGAAAAGGTTTACAGGGAGATTTTAGACCCAGATATAACATTTTTCCTAAAAGAGGAAGTGGAACAGGTCACTTCCTGTCATTCCAAGATGGCTCCCAATGACGGTAGAGTGTCTAGAAATGTGATGGAAAGGCTTACAAGTCAATTTGAGTCCAAGATATAGTATTTTTCCAAAAAAGGAAGTGAAACAGTTCACTTCCTGTCATTCCAAAGTTACTTCGTCATTCTAAAAAGTCCCCCAATGATGGGAGAGTATCTAAAAATGCAACAAAAAGGCTTACAGGACGATTTTAGGCCCTGAAATAGCATTTTTGAAACAGGCCACTTCCTGTGACTTCCAAGATGGCGGACTCACCCGCGGAGGAGCTTGAAGAGCATGCAGCCCAGGGAGAACCAGTCGGCACTGCTGTCATAGGAAGTGCCCTTCTGCAAGACCTCTGGGGCCATGTAGCCGTGAGTTCCCCTGGAAACAGGAAACAGGAAGTGGAAAATAAATCATCATAAAAATATTCATGAAAATATTCACAATATTTGCAAAAATAGTCTCCAAAATATTTGCATAAATAATCACAAAAATATATTTACAGAAATATTTGCAAAGGAATTCAGAAAAATATATTCAAAAAACTATTTGCAAAATAGTTCTGAAAAAATATGTATAAAATATTCATTAAAATATTTGCAAAATATATTCACAAAAATAATCACAATGTTCACAAAAATATTTGCAAAACTATTTTTAAAATATCTGCAGAATTATTCTGTAAAATATTTGCAGAAATATTACTATAAATTGTTGGAGAAATCTTTGCAAAAATATTGGCGGAAATATTAATAAATATATTGGCAGAAATATTCATATAAATTGTAGAAATGTTCACAAAAATAATTGCAATACATATTCACAAAATTTTCTGCACAATTATTCCGAAAAATATCAGAACTATTTACAAAAGTATTTGTAGAAATATTGAGAAGAATATAGGCAGAAAAATAATATTTGCAGAATCATACAAATATTGATAAAAATATCCACACAAATATTTCAGAAATAATCAGAAGAAATATTCACAAAAACATTTATAAATATTAATAACATATTGTCGAAGGCTTTCATGGCCGGAATCACTAAGTTCTTGTGGGTTTTTTCGGGCTATATGGCCATGTTCTAGAGGCATTTCTCCTGACGTTTCGCCTGCATCTATGGCAAGCTTCCTCAGAGGTGAGGTCTGCTGGAGCTGGGAAAAAGGGGTTTATATATATGTGGAATGACCAGGGTGAGACAAAGGACTCTTGTCTGCTGGAGCTAGGTGTGAATGTTTCAACTGATCACCTTGATTAACATACAATGGGCTGACTGTGACTGGAGCAAACTTTTGTTGAGAGGTAATTAGATGTCCCTGCCTGTTTCCTCTCTGCTGTTTTTGCTGTTGCAATTTTAGAATTTTTTAATACTGGTAGCCAGATTTTGTTCATTTTCATGGTTTCTCCCTTTCTGTTGAAATTGTCCACATGTTTGTGGATTTCAATGGCTTCTCTGTGTAGTCTGACATGGTGGTTGTGAGAGTGGTCCAGCATTTTTGTGTTCTCAAATAAAATGCTGTGTCCAGGTTGGTTCATCAGGTGCTCTGCTATGGCTGATTTCTCTGGTTGGAGTAGTCTGCAGTGCCTTTCATGTTCCTTGATTCGTGTTTGGGCGCTGCGTTTGGTGGTCCCTATGTAGACTTGTCCACAGCTGCATGGTATACGGTAGACTCCTGCAGAGGTGAGAGGATCCCTCTTGTCCTTTGCTGAACGTAGCATTTTTTGGATTTTCTTGGTGGGTTTGTAGATTGTTTGTATGTTGTGTCTCCATTTCTCAAGGAGAAACATGGCCATATAGCCCGAAAAAACCCACAAGAACTGATTAATAACATAGTTGGAAAATAGTTACAAAATATTTAAAATATTCAGAAAAAATATTTGCAAAAATATATTCAGAAGAATATCTACAGAATTATTCTGAAAAATATCTGCAGAAATATGTACAAAACTATTTGATTTATAAAAATCTTGGCAGAAATATTCACAAAAAAAGAAAAGAAAATATTCACAGAAATAATCATAAAAATATTTTCTAACATATATTCAGAAAACCATTTGCAGAAATATTCACAAAAACTAGCTTGGGTACTCACACGCTTGCGTGGGGCTTCTTCTTGGAGAAATCGCAGGCCAGGCCCAAATCTGAGACACGGACATGACCGCGTTCATCCAGCAGGATATTTGCCGGCTACAAATGCACAACAAACTTATTGTCATTACAAAGAAAAAATTACATCACAAACAAAAAAAAACAAATAATAATTCAAAAATAATCTACATGTAAAATTATAGAATAAACAATATTTTATATAACAAATTCAAAAATAATCTACAAGTAAAATTATAGAAGAAACAATATATTATTTGTATTAATATATTACTATTAGCTTATTCTATTAATTATATCATTGCAATTATTATACTATTATATTTTATATTAATTATATTATATTAATTTATTATTATTATTATTATTATTATTATTAACCTTCAGGTCTCGGTATACGACGAAGCGTTGGTGCATGTGTTCCAAGGCAAGGATGACTTCCGCCGCATAGAAACGCATCTCTTTCTCTGAAAAGACTCCGTGTTGTGCCAGGTGATAATGCAAATCCCCTCCTAATAAGAAATAATATTATATTCCAAATATTAACTCATTAACTAATTAAAGAAATAGTAATAATAATAATAATAATAATAATAATAATAATAATAATAATAATATGCCTGAGTGACTTAAGACTTGGGAAATTTGATAAAATCTCTAGATGCAGGGTGAACTACAAGTCCCGCATGGGCGGGCCATTCCCCCTAACCCCTCCAGTATGTTATGTTGGCCTGGGTTATTTGAAAAAGGCACTGTTTGTTTTGGGGTGTGAGATAGTATCAGTTTGGAAATTTGTAGCTCTATGTCTTAGAAAAAAGCCACTCTTTCCTGATGATTTCTATGAATGTTCCCATTAGAAAATGCATAAAGATGTGGGTGAACTACAATTCCAAAAATCGTGATCCAATCACCCCAAACTCCACCAGTATTTAAAGTTGGTCATGTTGGGTCTGTGCGCCAGGCTTGGTCCAGATCCTTCACCCATTTCCACAGACCACAATGACCCCTATGAATGACGGACCTGAACCACACTTGGCACACAGTGCCAACCCACTATACATCCTGGTGAAGTTTGGAGGAGGGCGGACCACGGATGATGGGATTTGCAGTACCTTCATCTTCTTTGGCTCCAACTTCCACAGATCACTGCGACCCACACAAATGACAGATCACAGACTCCCCATGACCAACAGAATATACTGGGGGATTGGAGGGAATTGGCCTTTACATTTGGGAGTTGTAGTTACTGGGATGTAAAGTTCACCTGAAATCAAAGAGCGCTCTGATCCCCACCAACGATGGACCTGGACCTTACTTGGCACACAGAACCCCCATGACCAGTTGAACATACTGGAGGGAATAGGAGGGAACTGACCTTCATTTCTGGAAGTAATAGTTTTCCTACATCCTGAGACACCATGACCACCACTGAGAATAGACTGAGATCAATCATGGAATACAACCCCCATGACCAATTGGAACATACTGGAGGGGTTTTGGGGGAACTGACCCACCATGGTGGGAGCTGTAGTTCATCCTGCAGCCAGAGTTCACACTGAACCCTACCAATGATGCATCTAGAGCAAACTTGCCCAACATGACAACTTTTAATGATGGAGTTTCAGGGGGTTAACCTGGCATGAGTTGTAGTTCACCCACAACGTTATGCATTTTGGAATTTTTTTTAAAAAAATCAAATAACCCGGGCAATGCCGGCTAGCCAAGCTAGTAATATATTATAATATAATACAGTAATACACTATTTGTGTGTATATATACAATACGAAGAATAAAAATGCAGCTATATAAATAAAAATGTAATGTTCATTTGTGGGATTAACATAACTCAAAAACCATTCACACAACTGTCGCAGCCAGCGTGAGAGGCACTGCTGTGCTTCCTCCCTCACTTCAGGATCCTCAGAAGCCAAGCCCGCGCGCACGGCCACACACATATACACAAACAACTGACACAGCAAGGCACCACCGATACACCTCCACACACACACATACAAACATACATACAAACACTGACTTTTATTAAATACTAGCTTGGGGACCCAGCGATACCTGGGTTATTAGAGAAAGGTATTGCTTGTCTGTGCTCCAAGTTTAGTCTAGATCCCAATGCCAGATGGGTTCAGTGGCTGTGGATGAACTGCAACTCCCATATGCAAATCACTTGGTCCATCCTCCTACAAACCACACCTGGATGCATAGTGGGTCACGGGGGCTCTGTGTGCCAAGTTTGGTCTTGATCTGTCAGTACTGGGGCTCGCAATGGTTTCAGGATGTGAGTGAAAGTAATGCAAGTCCCATCATCCATGGTCGGTCCTCCCACAAACCACACCAGGACGTAGAGTGTGTCATGGAGTCTCTATATTCCAAGTTTCGCCGTGACTTGTCATTGGTGGGGGTTGCGGTGGTCTTAGGAAGTGAGTGAAGGTATTGTAAGTCCCATCGTCCATGGTCCATCCTTCGCCAAACCACACCAGGATGTAGAGTGGGTCATGGGGACTTTATATGCCAAGTGTGGGCTTTATCGGTCTTTGGTGTAGTTCGCAGTTGTCTCTGGAAATGAGTGAAGGTACTGCAAATCCCATCATCCATGGTCCACCTTCCTCCAAACTGCACCAGGATGTAGAGTGGGTCATGGGGGCTCTGTGTGCCAAGTTTGGTCTTTATTGGTCATTGGATGAGGGTCGCAGTGGTATCCGGAAGTAAGTGGAGGTACTTCAAGCCCATTGTCATTGTGATTGTGCCTATTGTAATTTTATATTGCTATGTATTCACATGTTTTATGTAATTATGTTGTTGTTGTTTATTGTTTGCATTTGTGTTTTCAGTTTTATTTTATTGTAAATTGTTGTTTGGGCTTGGCCTCATCTAAGCCGCTCCGAGTTCCCATTGGGGAGATGGTGGCAGGGTATAAATTAAGTTGTTGATGATGATGATGATGATTATTATTATTATTTATCATCCGTGGTCCATCCTCTCTGAAACTGCACCAGGATGTAGAGTGGGTCATGGAGGCTCTGTGTGCCAAGTTTGGTCCTGATCTGTAATTGGTGGAGGTTGCAATAGTCTCAGGAATTGAGGGGTGGTTCTGCAAGTCCCATCATCCATTGTCCATTCTCCCCTAAATGACATCAGTATGTAAAGTGGGTCATGGCGAGTCTGTGTACCAAGTTTCTGAGGGCTGCAGTGTCCTGTGTTAGGAGAATCGGGTGAAGGTATTGCAAATCCCATTGTCCATGGTCCATCCTTCCCCAAACTTCACCTGAGAGTGAGGTGGGTCATGGGGGGGGTGTGTGCCAAGTTTTTGGTTTTGATCAGTCATTGGTGTGGGTTGCAGTGCTTTCTGGAAGTTAGTGAATGTACTGTAAGTCCCATCGTCCATGGTCCATCCTCCCCCAAACTGCACCAGGATGTAAAGTGAGTCACGGAGGGACTGTGTACCAAGTTTGGTGCTGATCTGTCATTGGTGGTGGTCACAGTGGTTTGTGGGAGCCAAAGTGATTGAAAGTACTGCAAATCCCATCATCCATGGTCCATCCTCCCCCAAACCGCACCAGGACGTAAAGTGGGTCATGGGGGTTATGTGTGCCAAATTTGGTCCAGGTCCGTCACTCCTGCAGGTCGCAGTGGCCTCAGGAAGTGGCAGTCAATCAGAAACCTGCCACATACATACACACATACCCACTTACCCACATACAAATATTCACTTTTATTATATATATATAAATATAGATAGATATAGTTCTTCTTCCCTTTAATTACCATTCATGAGGTCCAAAATGAAGCAAAGTTTGTCCGGAGTGTGGAAGGCATAGGTCATGCAGACAATGAAAGGACAGTCCTAGAAAAGAGAGTTATTATTATATTATATTACAATATTTATTTAATATTCATAGATTTTATGTTTATATTATTTTACATTATGTATTAATGTGAAATAATGTAAAAAAATAAAATATAGGAATATAAATCACAAAAGGAAATAAATACAAATAAATAAAATGAAATTCAATATCACATAAAATATAAAATATAACAAAATATATTTATTATTATATTCATTATCTATATCTATATAAATAAAAATGTCATGTTTGTTTGTGGGATTAACATAACTCAAAAATCACTTGACAAACTGACACCAAATTTGGACACAATACACCTATCAGGCCAACAAGTGACCATCACTCATAAAAACATTGGAAGACATAGCAGAAGGGACTTACTAAGCCAAAAATTAAAAAATACATTACAGCGCATGCACAAAACCACATACATACACATATACACAGACATACACACATAAAACAAATATACACAGACTGGGCCATGCGTGGCAGGGGACGGTTAGTATAACAAATAATTATATATTATATATAATTATATATATATTATTTGTAATTATAAACATAATAATAATTATTTATTACTATTATTATTATTATTATTATTATTTATTACTATGTATTATCTGACCCCGGTGGAGACGAGGGAGAGCATGATGCGTTCATTGAGCGCCAGGGCTTCTCCTTGTTTCATCTTGATCCGCTTCTTGTCCAAGCACTTCATTGCGTACCTTTAAAGAAAAAACATCCATCAAGGGAAAATTCTGCATAACCATGGGGAACAACTTCCAGTCCACGTGGACTAAAAACAGTGGCAGTAAAGACCATGACACTAGTTTTCTCCCGAGGATAATTGCTGAGCATGAGATGGGACCAAACCAAGGGTCTCATTAAGCAATGGATCTTGGACATGGAGTGCCAATCAGACCTAGCCTGTTCCTCAGCCTTTATTGTTAGGGAAGCCAATACGTACCTCATTGCCCCATGGCTTACCTAACAGACCTGGAAGCGCCCAAACACCGAAGGAAGGGTTTTAGCCTGGCAAGATGCCACGTCCTCCCATGGGCTGTATTGGAGGGGAGGTATTGGAAGACTCCTTTCAAGGAGATCTGTCATTGGTGTGAGTCAGAGTGCTCTATTGGAGCTGAAGTAGTGCATATACCATCATGCTCTCCCGAGAAAGCTTCTCTCTTAGGGCAGTTCCTGTGCTGAACATTTCTGGCATTGAAAGTGTTGGTCTGGTGTGGGATTCCTCTGAGAATATGGCCTTTCTGCTGGTGTACCGTGCGCCTAGCGCACCAGCAGACAGCCTATCCCAGCTGCTGGAGACTGTGTCGGAATGGTCCTTGAGATTCCCCAGACTTATTGTCTTGGGGGATTTCAATGTCCACGCTGATGCCGACTCTTGTTCATCAGCAGCTATGGACCTAGTGTGTACCATGGAGACACTAGGACTCTCGCTCTGTATTACTGGGCCCACACATAAGGCGGGACACACGCTAGATCTGATTTTCAGCGCAGGAATTCAAGTGACCCAAGCCTCTACTATAGAAGTTCCATGGTCAGATCACTGTATCCTGAGAGTCCGGTTGGAGCACGCCTACCCACCCTGCAAAGGTGCCGAGCCAATTTGGGCTCGCCCTAGGAGACTTATGGAACCCAGTAGGTTCCAGAATGCTCTGAGGGATCTGGAGCCTGTCAGCGACTCGATCGATGTGCAAGTGGACACATGGAACATCAGGCTATCCAATGCACTCGATGAGATCGCCCCTAGATGCCCTCTCCGACCCCACTGAAATCGGTCTCCTTGGTTCACTGAGGAACTTCGACTGATGAAGCGGGGAAAAAGACGGCTGGAGGGCGTGTGGCGAGAACTCCGTGACGGAGCATCGAGATCAGTTTATAAGGCATTTAGGGAGTCCTATGAGCTTGCTATCACCGAGGCAAAGCGAGTATATTATGCTTATTTGATAGCGTCTGCTAGCTCACGTCCGACAAAATTGTTCAAAATAATTCGATCTCTAACGACGGTTCCTACCATCCCCAAAAGTGGTGATCAGGTGCCTTCAGCCGAGGATTTTCAGAGCTATTTTGCAGACAAGATCTCGCTACTTCGCCGGGACCTCCCCACCACAATTGATACAGTGAGAGAACTTGAGACTCTGTGGCCACTTGCTGGGCCCATCCTCGACCGGTTCATCCCGCTGGACGCAGGGGCTGTCGATAGGCTCATAGCTGCAGCTAGACCGACCACTTGCTCCCTCGATCCGTGTCCCTCTTGGTTGGTGAAATCCTGCTTGGAGGGATTACGTGACCCTCTGTTGAAGATTATAAACAGCTCCCTTGAGAAAGAGTTTTTCCAGAGGGTTTAAAAGAGGCGGTGGTCTCTCCCCTGCTGAAGAAACTAGATTTAGATCCTTCAGTTCCCTCCAGTTACCGCGCAGTTTTGAATCTCTCGTTCCTGGGCAAGGTGATTGAGAGGGCAGCAGTGGAGCAGTTGCAGCAATCCCTAGACGACACAGCCGGACTAGATCCCTTCCAGTCCAACTTCCGTGCGGGGCATGAGCCAGAGACAGTGCTGGTCTCCATCACGGATCACCTTCGATGCCAGCTTGACCAGGGCGGGTCAGCGCTGCTTGATATAATAGTGAAGAATAAAGACTTTGTTGCAACTCAGGGTAGCTTTCACCTTGCCCCAGATACCACCACACCAAAGCTGTAGGTTTTGTAGTTTATTGAGAAAAAGGCAAAAACATGAAGCATAATCCTTTAGCAGTGGTCAAACAAGACTCCATGGAAAACAGTTGAAAACAAGGTCCAAATCCCAGACTCAGGAAACCAGAAGCGTGTTGCTGAAAGCCAAAGTTAATCCACAGAAGTTTGCATGGGAAGAGCTACGTTGGACTGACAACCCCTGCTTGTCAGCTGCAAGGCTAAATACCCTTTGCAGACATGAACGCATTGCGTTGACCTTTGGCACCCTTGGCTTCTCACTTGCTAGCCAAGCGAGTGCTTCTCTGGAGCCTTAATTGCAGACGATCTTGCCTTCTCATTAATTCATTATCTTCAAGGCTATGTAACCCCTTATCTTGGTCCAGTTGGATCGGATCTCTGTGGGGAGGAAAAGACGTCTCCACCTGGCCGTGTGGGAATTCACTCTCATTATCAGTCTCACTAACATTCCTTTCCCCTGGGAACTGACTTGCTGTTTCTCCTTCAGCAACCCCACCGTCAGCCCTGTCTGAAGCATGTACAGAAATCTGTAACCCATATAGGAATTCTGGCTCAGAAGGCTAAAAGAGCTCAGCTTCAGACTCAGACTCAAGCTGAGTCACAACAGATTTCAACCTATAGATTTATTTATTTATTTCAAACATTTTTACCCCGCCCTTCTCCACCCCTGGGGGGACTCAGGGCGGCTTACAATTGGCAATAATTCAATGCCACATCATAAAATACAGAATAAGAAATATAACAATTAAACATGAACATTAATAAATAAAAATTGAAACAGCATACTTACACTCTGATTAGCTATTGCCCGTCTGGTGGCTGTTTAGCTAGCCATCTACTAATGATTACTCTGCTTAACTTATCCAAATCCTCTTCCATGCCATAGTCAACATTATCGATTGTCCTTTAACCTGATTGCCCGAAGGCCTGGTCCCACAGCCACGTTTTAACCTTTTTTCTAAAGGTGAGGAGGGATGACGATGACCTAATTTCCCCGGGGCGCAAATTCCACAGGCGGGGGGCCACCACCGAGAAGGCCCTGTCCCTCGTCCCCACCAAGCGTGTTTGAGACAAAGGCGGGGCCGAGAGACGATCTTAAACTCCAAGGTGGGACGTAGAAGGAGATACGTTCGGACAGGTATGCTGGACCGAAGCCGTATAGGGTTTTATAGGTCAAGACCAGCACTTTGAATTGTGCTCGGAATTGGATAGGTAGCAAGAGCTGGACCATAAGGAAGGCTGTGCGAAGTTAGTGATGCTTTTGAACTGTGGTGCTGGAGTAAAATGCTGAGAGTGCCTTCGACTGAGAGAAGATCCAACCAGTCCATCCTCCAGGAAAAAAAGCCCAGATGCTCACTGGAGGGAAGGGTATTAGAGGCAAAGTTGAAGCCCTTTGGACACATCATGAGAAGACAGGAAAGCTTGGAGAAGAGAAGGATGCTGGGGAAAATTGAAGGAAAATAAAAGGGGGCTAACCAAGGGCAAGACGGGTGGATGGTATTCTCAAAGTGACTGTCTTGACCTTGAAGGAGCTGTGGGTTGCCATGGCCCATAGGTAGCTTTTGCCTGGCATGGGCCAGGAGGGCAACAAGAGTCAGAAGCAAGTGAAACGCTGCTGCTTTTGGGCTCTAACACTACAATAATTTACAGTGCTAAGTTTTGTGCTGCAGCACTTAAAATGAAACGGATGATTGACCTCGCAAAGCAACACCCTGTTGGGAATGTAGTCACAGCAACCTGTTACAGCTGAAAGGATAGTAGACTTGTAATGTGCCTCTCCCATCTCCTTTAGTTCCCCCCCCTCCCCGTGCTTTGACCCCTCATACCAGTCTCCTCCCCCCCCCAGTTCCACACCTGTTGCATTAACCTGTATTTTTAAACTGTGATTTTAAACTGTCCTCTAAACTACTTTTTAAATAACTGCTTCACTGGGGAGCTGCGTTTCCCCTTCCCAGGGTGCTTGTGCCCCACTTTGTGCTGGTCAGAAACTGTAATAAAGTTTAGTGTTGTATTCTGCATAAATAAAAATGCAATATAATAATAATAATAATTTACATTTTTCCCGTATCGACCTTGCGGCATCCATAGACTTCTCCGAATCCTCCTCTGCCAATAATGCGATGCACACTGAAGTCTGACATGCTCAGCTGCAGGGGAAGATTATTATATTAATTTTAATATATATTCAATGTACAATAATATATAATTTAATTTAATATCTTATTATATAATAGCTTGGGTACCCAGCAGTGTCCAGGTTATTTGAAAGAGGCATTGTTTGTTTTGTGGTATGAGGTAATATCATTTGGATACCGTATATTCCGGCATATAAGACGACTGGGCGTATAAGACGACCCCCAACTTTTCCAGTTAAAATATAGAGTTTGGGATATACTTGCCGTATAAGACTACCCCTTTTCCAACACACACCAAATAAAAAAATTTAAAGCATCAGATTTGATTTCAATATGGCAATTTTCCTATTACTGTACCTCCTTCTCTGCCTCTCAGATCCCACACATGTGGACCTACACCACTTCACTGCAGTCTTCAGGAGCGAGATCTGAGAGGCAGAGGAGGCGGTATGGTAATAGGATACAAAGGCGGGCCAGACAGGTAAAAGAGGTGTGTTTTTCTGGGCCCAGAGCCACTCTATCTCTTTTTTTCCATACCCCGGCATTGCCTGCAGCTTGCTCCATCCTTCACTTACACCTTCCCGGTGAGGCGCCCCTTCACCTCACCATTGGGACCGCATTAAGTCCACGAATCCTGATGAATGGATTTTCTTCTACCATACTTGTATAGCGTCACCCTTAATGCTTTCATACAGTTGCTGCATACAGCAGGGACGCGGCCACTGCCATTTTTGAGCTCCTCCCCACAATATGCAGCAACCACAGATTCTCCAATCCAGATTGGAAGTTTCAGCATCCGCTCTATAAGACTACTCCTGCATATAAGACGATCCCCATGTATAAGACGACCCCTGACATTTGAGATGATTTTCTTGGGTTAAAAAGTAGTCTTATATGCCAGAATATATGGCAATTAGTAACACTATTTATTAGAAAGAAGACAGACTACTGCGGGACAAATATTAAAAACTATAGACCCATTTTGCTGCTCAATTTAGATTATAATATTTTCTCAGACATACTAGGTGCCAAAACATTTTTGGTAGATTGGATAGATGAAGATCAAGTAGGTTTTTTACCTGAGCGACACATCAAAGAAAATATAAGAAACATTTTAAATGTAATTGAATATTATGATGTGCACCATTAAAAGGAATTGGCATTAATGACGATCGACACCGAAAAGGCGTTCGATAATGTAAACTGGAATTTTTTAAAGATATTATTTAAAGAATTATATATTGGCTACAACTTCCAGAATGCAATCGAAGCAATATATAATGAGCAGAGTGCAACAATTTGGGCAAATGGCACACCATCAAAAGAATTTGCAATCAAAAGAGGCACAAGACAAGGTTGCCCACTGTCACCTCTTATATTTATGATGACACTAGAAATACTATTGAGAAATATTAAATAAAATAAGCATCTAAAGGGATTGAATGTTGGAAAACAAAGGTACAAATACTGGGCTTATGCAGATGACCTAATATGCATAATGGAAGACCCAAGAAAAAACAGCTCAAGTTAGTTAAAAGTAATAGAAGAATATGGGAAGATGGCGGGCTTTAAAATGAACAAGACGAAGACGAAGATCTTAACAAAAATATGTCAAAGGAAAACCAAAAGATTTTGGAAGAGATGACAAGAATACAAACCTGTACAAAGATAAAGTATCTGGGAGTATGGCTAACTGCAAAAAATGCCAGATAAAGAACAATTACGAAGCAAAATGGATAAAGATAAAAAAAAGACTTAAACAATTGGAAACACCTAAATTTATCAATTTTGGGAAAAATTGCCACAATTAAAATGAATGTTTTGCCGAAATAGTTATATTTATTTCAAAATATACCCATAATCAGAAATAATAAACTATTCAATATCTGGAATAAAGAATGATTGACAACTGGGAAATGGAGAAAATGTGGAGGCAGTGACAGGGTTTGTATTTCTAGGCGCAGATGCAGACTGTGGCCAGGAAGTCAGGAGACGCTTCCTTCTTGGGAGGAGAGCAATGTCCAGTCTCGATAAAATAGTCAAGAGTAGAGACATCAGACTGGCAACAAAGATCCGCCTAGTCAAAGCCATGGTATTCCCTGTAGTAACCTACGGATGTGAGAGCTGGACCTTAGGGAAGGCTGAGCGAAGGAATATAGATGCTTTTGAACTGTGGTGCTGGAGGAAAGTTCTGAGAGTGCCTTGGACTGCGAGAAGATCCAACCAGTCCATACTTCAGGAAATAAAGCCCGACTGCTCATTGGAGGGAAGGATATAGAGACAAAGTTGAAGTACTTTGGCCACATCATGAGGAGACAGGAAAGCCTAGAGAAGACAATTATGCTGGGGAAAGTGGAAGGCAAAAGGAAGAGGGGCCGACCAAGGGCAAGATGGATGGATGGCATCCTTCAAGTGACTGGACTGACCTTGAAGGAGCTGGGGGTGGTGACGGCCGACAGGGAGCTCTGGCGTGGGCTGGTCCATGAGGTCACGAAGAGTCGGAGACGACTGAACGAATGAACAACAAGTAAAAAACCAAGGATCAAATATACAAATATGATAGACCAAAGAAACAGAGGTGGATTGGGACTCCCAGATTTAAAACTCTACTATGAGGCAAGTGGACTCTCTTGGGTGAAAGAATGGATTTCACTTAAAAAAGAAAGAACGTTAACACTAGAAGGCTTTGATTTGAGATTCGGTTGGCACTCGTACCTTTGGTACAACCAAACTTTAAAGGAAAAAAAAATCAACAACCATTTCATCAGGGCAGTATTAATAAAAATTTGGAATAAATATAAAACAAGAATGTATCAAAAGACACCATTATGGGCATCACCATTAGAAACAAGGCAAAGAAGATTATTAGGGTGGACTAAATGGCCGACATATAAAGATGTACTATTGAAAAAAGATAATGAATTACAACTGAAGACAAGAGAAGAGATAAATACCCAATTTGTAAATGTATCGTGGTTTCAATATCTGCAACTTAAAGAATATTATAACTCAGATAAAAAATTAGGCTTCATGTGTAAGGAAGACATATGGGACCAAATTCTGAGAAAAAAGAAAAAAATATTACAATAATTTATAATAAATTATTAGAGAGGGCTACTGAAACAGAAGTAATAAAAGATTGCATGATTAAATGGGCAAAGAATATTGGCAGACAGATACAATATAAAGAATGGGAACAAATTTGGACAAAAAAGGTCAAATATACATATTCGACGGACTTACAAGATAATTGGTTTAAAATATTTTATAGGTGGTATATGATGCCACAAAAACTAGGCATAATGTATGGCAATGTTAGAAATAAATGCTGGAAATGTGAATCACAAACTGGAACTTTCTACCATGCGTGGTGGACCTGTCCAGTGGTTAGCGCATTTTGGAAAATGATAAAACAAGAATGTGAGAAGATTTTAAAAATAAAAATTCAGATGAAACCAGAGTACTTCCTACTGGGGATAATAGACGAAGAAATGGAATTAGACCAGAATAAGGATATTTTGTTCAACTATTGTACTACTGCTGCAAGAATAGTTTTGGCAAAAAAATGGAAACAGAGAGATGTAGCTACAAAGGAAGAATGGATAAGTAAAGTGAAGGAAATTAAAGACATGGATAAACTGACCTTTGCACTAAAAGTCTCATATGGAAGACCAATGAAAAAAACAGTTTGGAAATTATTTGAGGAATACATACTAGCACATAAAATTAGACATGACATAAAAGAAGAGGAAGAAACAATCTCAGAAGAAAGGAAGACGAAAAAAAATACGGAACCAGAAAGAAGATTGAGGAAGTCTAGAAACCCCTATCACAATTTTCATCCCCCCCCCATCCTCTTCCTCCCCAGATTCCTTGCTTCCTTTCCCTTGTCCCAAGCAACCCTTTTCACAGCCAACACTAACCCTGGACCAGACCTCTTTCTTACCCTCCCCCCAACCCCCCCCTTCTCCCTATTTTTCCCTACCTTCAATCCAAAAATCTCTAACTTTTACCTATACAACTGTAAGAATATTCTTTAATAAAATTATTTTTTTTAAAATTATTAAAAACTCAAATGAGATAAAAGGAGGGACAGGTTATTTGCAAGGGGAGCTCAATTAAAAACGAGGTTTTGGAACCAAGCTTTCCCAAAAGGTAGGGGGATGTGTACTTCAATGACAGAAACATTGCGGCTGAGTGATAGTGTGAGGTTGAGTACCTCACACAAAATGAAGATGCAATAAAAGAAGAACCTAAGTTAAGTTTGCAGGAAACTGAAACTGAAGAGCAGGTAATAATTCCGAGAAGGTCACAAAGAACAACCAAAGGTATACCTCCTGATAGTTTTTTGGTTCAGGGTGTAATGACTTGTTAACCAGAAATGGAACCTGAAATGTTCCGGCATTTAGATAATTATAATCTTGAAGAACAATATAAATGGAAAAAGGCAATGGATGAAGTATTTAAATCTTTTTTAAATGTAGAAGTATTTGATGATGTAGATGTACCAAAAGATAAACCTGTAATTGGGTGCAAATGGGTTTTAGAAAGAAAGCCTTACCTGATGGGAGTTGTAAATACAAAGCCAGACTCGTAGCCCAAGGTTTTTCCCAAAGGCAATTCGTAAATTATAATACTTTTGCACCTACAGCCAAAGCTGAGTCAATGCGTATTATTATTGCTTTAGCTGAACAACAAGGTTTTAAAATGAAATATTTTGATTTTGAAACAACATACCTTAATGCCAGAATTACTGAAGAAATATGTATGAAACAGGCACCCGGATATGAAAATCAACCAGGAAAGGTTTATAGGCTTAAAAAGGCATTATATGGGTTAATAAAATCTGCCAGGAGATGGAATGAGTGTATATATAAATTATTGGTGAAATTAAATTTTAAACAAAGTGTAGTGGATGCGTGTGTTTATACATTAGGCGAAGGTGAAAATAAGATAATTGTCTTGATTTATGTTAATTATTTATGTATCACCACTCAGAGTAATTCAAAAATACAAACTGTATATACATATTTGACAAAGCATTTAAGACTAAAAGATTTAGGATGTTTAAAATATTATTTAGGGATTGAAGTAGTCAGCCATGAAGGGGAAGTGTTCCTAAATCAGTCAAGCAAGATTTTAAAGCAGTTTTGTAAAAAACAAAACAAAAAAAAACTCCTTTAACAGGAGAGTTCCAAAACCAAGAAGGCACAGAAGAGCTGAAAAATGTAAAGCTATATCATTCTTTTATTGGAAGTCTTTTACATATTGCAAACTGGATGCGACCAGTCCCCCTGCATCAAGGCAGAGCACTGTGACCCCCTTCAATAATGGACCTGGATTGCATTTGGCAAGCAGAACCCCCATGACCAGGTTTGGGGGAATTGACCTGGATTTATAAGAGTTGCAGCTCACCTACATCCAGAGAGAACCCAACAATGATGGATCTGGATGGAAGTTGATCTGCATTATGGGATTTGCAGTACCTTCACTCACTTCCAGAGACCACTGCAACCTCCCCCCCCCCCGAAAGACAGACCAAACTTAGCACACAGGCTCCCACATGACCCACTATACGTCCTGGTGAATTTTGGATGAGAACGGATTACGGAAGATGGGATTTGCAGTACCTTCACCAAATTTGGCTCCCACAGGCCACTGTGACCCCCACGCATGATGGATCTGGACCAAATTTGCAACACAGACTCTCTATGACACACTTTTTGTCCTGGTGAGGGTTAGGGGAGGCTGGAACACAGACAATGGAATTCACAGTACCTTAGAATACTTCCACAGACCACTGTGACCCCCACGAATGATAGGCCACTTGGGACGCAAAAACCCCATGAACAGAACATACTGGAGGGGTTTGGGGAACTGACCCTCCCCCCCGGCATGGGAATTGTAGTTCACCCTGCAGCCAGAGAACTCTGAACCCCACCAAGGACAGATCTGGACCAAACATGGCACACAGACCCAACATGCCCAACTGTGATTCAGGCAGTTTGGGGGTGATTGCCCTGGGAATCTGGGACTTGCAGTTCTCCTGCATCCAGAGAAACTGCGGCCCCCACCGATAATGGACCAGGACCAAACTTGGTACAGAGAAGTCCCATGACCAAGTGAATATACTGCAGGGATTTGGGGAAACTGATCTGGATTTTGTGAGTTGTTGTTCACCTGCATCCCAAGAGCACTAAATCCAGCTGACAACAGATCTGGATCACACTTGGCACACAGACCCAACATGGCCAACTGTAAATACTGGCAGGATTTCGGGGTGACTACCCTTGGCATATGGGAATTGTAGTTCACCCTTACCCATACAGCACTGAACCCAGCCGATGACAGGTCTGGACAAAGCTTGGCACACAGACCCAACATGGCCAGGTGTGTATACAGGTCTTGTTTGGGGAGGATTGACCCATGATTTTGGGAATTGTAGTTTATCCACATCATTATGTATTTTCTAATGGGAGCATTAATAAAAAATGAAATCACATTCTGGCTTTTTCCTAAAAAATAGTGTTACTAATTAACTAAATGATATGACCTTTCACCCCAAAACAAACAAGGCCATTTTCAAATAACCCAGGCACCACCAGATACACAAGCTAGTCAAAAATAAAACAGAAAATATAATAGAAATAATATAAAGTAAAAATACTTACATGAATGTTCAACTCAACATTTTTCCATTGGCAAAAACGAGTAAATTTATCACTGAGAAATAAAAAATTAATGCAAAATGAAATACAAAATATAAAATGCAGTATTATACAATGTAAATAAATAATATAAATACAATGTAAACTAAAATATAAATTACTAAACAAAATAATATAATTAAAAATGAAGCATAATTTAATATCAAATGCTAAAATAAAACAAAACAAACCTCTCCAGAAACATTTCAAATATTTTCCCTCGAAGGCTATCGCAAATTTCCACCAAATAGGGCTGAAAGGAGAAAAATATAGGTATTTTATACAACTGTTAATATCATTAAATAAATCCTATTAAGATAAATTATCTGAAGCTATTTTACCTATATTATTTATTATAATAATGCAGTAGAAATATGTATAATAATAAATAATATTTAATATAATAATAATTTAGACATAATACTAATAATGTATGTATAATACAAATACTATACAAATAATAATGCAGTAGAAATAATATTTAATATAATAATAATAATTCTATACAAATAATGTTAACATAATATGTATAGAATTATGTTAATATAATATTAATATATTTAATATAATAAAATAGGTATAATAAAGAAAACAGTTAAGTAATACAAATAATAATAATAATAATAAAAGAAAAGACAAAAGAGGGAATGAAAGCGGGAGGGAAGGAAGGAGAGAAGAAAGGAAGGAGGGAAGGAAGAAAGAAAAAAAGAGAAAGACTGAAGGAAGGAAGGAAAGACAGGGATGGAGGGAGGGAGGGAAGGAATAAGAGAAGAAAGGAAGGAAAGTAAGAGGTAGAGAAGGAAGGAAGAAGAGAAAGAAGAAAGGACAGATAAGGGGGGTAGGAAGGAAAGAGGTAGAGAAGGAAGGAACTAGACTGAGGCCACAGCAAAACATGGCCGGGAACAGCTAGTATTTAATATAAGAATAATGTAGAAATAATAATAATATATATTATATACTATAATATATTATATTTAATATTATAACAACATAGCTATAATAATAATAATCTATATAAATAAAAATGTAATGTTCGTTTGTGGGATTAACATAACTCAAAAACCACTGGACAAATTGACACCAAATTTGGACACAATACTGATATCAGGTCAATGAGTGACCATCACTCATAAAAAACACTGGAAAACACAGCGGAAGGGACTTAAAAAGCCAAAAAGCAAAAAATTCATTATAACACATGCGCAAAACCACAAATATATACACACACAAAGCACACAGACTGGGCCACTGCACACATGCACAAAACCACATATATACACGAACACACATATATACACATATACACAAATATATGCACACATATGCACATATACACACTAAACACACATACACAGACTGGGCCACAGCAACACGTTGCAGGGTATGGCTAGTTAATACAAATAACAATGCAGTAGAAGTAATGTTTAATACAATAATCTAAAATAATAATATTTAATATAATAATAATGTAGAAATAATAATAATAATAATAATAATAATAATAATAATAATAACAATAATAATATAACTACCTGGAAAAGGCTTGGTGGGGCTTGTTTCTTCGCAAGTTGAGTCTGGACTTGGCTGACGGCCAGCTTTGAAAAAGGCTGCGAAAAAATTTATTTAAATAAAAATGGTCATTCTAAGAAAGAGGAAGTGACCTCTGTCCCCACTTCCGGTTCTGGATAGGAAGTACTTACGTGGGAGGAAGAGAGCAACCCTTTCATGATGAAGGAGCCATAAATCTCTCGTCCACAAATCAAACGCTCCTCCTCCGAACAGATCTTTTCAAATTCTTTTATCTGAAATTTATTATTACATATTATTATCACTATTATTAAACAGAATATATAATTATTATATTAAGAATTCTATTTATTATTTTTATTTCTATATTTATATTTTATGTATTTTATTTATTTATTTATTAGATCCCTTAATTTAGTACTTTTATTTATATTTATTTATTACTTATTTATTATTTATTATGTATATTTATATTTTATTTATTTTATTATTTTTATTAATGTATGTATGTATTTATTATATATTTTATATAGCCCTTTATTTATTTATTTGTATTTATAAATAAATAAATCGGTTTGCAGCATAATACCGAGTTGTTCAAACCTAGCCCTAGTATATATTCTTCTTAAGGGTCGTGGAAGTATTTGTATGTATGTGTATATATATATATATATAGCTAGCTATAATAACATACAATAAAATAAAATAATAACATAAAATACTAAAATAAATTAAATCACAGACTACAATGCAATTTGAAAATAAAATAATAAATTAATAAATTAAAATAATCAACATACAATCTTTAGATATAAAAATTCAGCCTGTGTATGTTTGTGCTTGCAAAACTCAAAAAGTAGTTTTTGAGTTTTGCAAGCACAAACATACACAGGCTGAATTTTTATATCTAAAGATTGTATGTTGATTATTTTAATTTATTAATTTATTATTTTATTTTCAAATTGTATTGTAGTCTGTGATTTAATTTATTTTAGTATTTTATGTTATATGTAGTTGGCCGACTGACTTGAAATTTTGACACGTTGCCTTCGAATACGCGCATGTTTTTACAATAAAATGAAATTTTGAAAAACTGTTGCATTCGAAGACGCGCATGTTTTCACAGTAAAACAAGCAGTCTTGGAAAAGACAAAGTGCCCACAAAAATGATCCCAGCACCCATTCTTATGAAAGTTTTAGGAGAATCAAAACACTCCCAAAAGATGGCCATCCATTTTTACTTTATAGCAACCCTGGGCTATAATATATCTACAACAACAACAATAATAATAATAATAATAATAATAATAATAATAATAATATCTATATATCTATATATCTATCATAATAATATCTATCAATCTATAATTATATATATGTCTATGATATCTATATGTCTTTAACAATAATATATATATATATCCATCATAATAATATCTATCAATCCCTAATAATATATATGTCTATGATATCTATATGTCTTTAACAATAATAACTACATTTCTATCATAATATCCATATGCCTGTAATAATGTCTATATGCCTATAATAATATCTACAGGTCTATAATAATATCCATATGTCTATAATTATAATATCTGTCTGTCAAAAATATCTGTACATTTATAACAATAATACCTATATGCCTAAAATATCTATGTCTATAATAATAATAATAATATCTATATAAAGTATAATAATATGTATACATCTATAATAATAATAGCTATATAATATCTATAAAAATAACAATAACAATAATAACATCTATATGTCTATATATACGGTGTGGTGAATGAATTAGAACCAGACATCCTGAGGAGTGAGGTTGAATGGGCCTTAAGAAGCATTGCTAACAACAAGGCAGCAGGAGATGACGGGATCCCAGCTGAACTGTTCAAAATCTTAAAAGATGATGCTGTCAAGGTGATGCATGCCATATGCCAGCAAATATGGAAAACACAAGAATGGCCATCGGACTGGAAAAAATCAACTTATATCCCCATACCAAAAAAGGGAAATGCGAAAGACTGCTCAAACTTCGTACAGTGGCCCTTATTTCACGTGCCAGTAAGGTAATGCTCAAGATCCTGCAAGGAAGACTCCAGCAATACATGGAGCGAGAGTTGCCAGATGTTCAAGCTGGGTTTAGAAAAGGCAGAGGAACGAGAGACCAAATTGCCAATATCCGCTGGATAATGGAGAAAGGCAGGGAGTTTCAGAAAAACATCTATTTCTGCTTCATTGACTATTCTAAAGCCTTTGACTGTGTGAATCATAATAAATTGTGGCAAGTTCTTGGTGGGATGGGCATCCCAAGCCACCTTGTCTCTCTCCTGAGGAATCTGTACAAGGACCAAGTAGCAACAGTCAGAACTGACCACGGAACAACAGACTGGTTCAAGATTGGGAAAGGCGTACGGCAAGGCTGCATCCTCTCACCCAACCTTTTTATCTTGTATGCAGAACACATCATGCGATGTGCGGGGCTGGATGAATGCAAAGCTGGGGTGAAAATTGCTGGAAGAAACATTAACAACCTCAGATATGCAGATGACACCACTCTGATGGCCGAAAGCGAGGAGGAGCTGAGGAGCCTTCTAATCAAGGTGAAAGAAGAAAGCGCAAAAGCCGGGTTGCAGCTAAACGTCAAAAAACCAAGATTATGGCAACAAGAATGATTGACAACTGGAAAATAGAGGGAGAAACCGTGGAGGCCGTGACAGACTTTGTATTTCTAGGTGCAAAGATTACTGCAGATGCAGACTGCAGCCAGGAAATCAGGAGACGCTTACTTCTTGGGAGGAGAGCAATGTCCGATCTCGATAAAATAGTGAAGAGTAGAGACATCACACTGGCAATGAAGATCCGCATAGTCAAAGCCATGGTATTCCCTGTAGTCACCTACGGATGTGAGAGCTGGACCTTAGGGAAGGCTGAGCGAAGGAAGATCGATGCTTTTGAGCTGTGATGTTGGAGGAAAGTTCTGAGAGTGCCTTGGACTGCGAGAAGATCCAACCAGTCCATCCTCCAGGAAATAAAGCCCGACTGCTCACTGGAGGGAAAGATACTAGAGACAAAGTTGAAGTACTTTGGCCATCATGAGGAGACAGGAAAGCCTAGAGAAGACAATTTATGCTGGGGAAAGTGGAAGGCAAAAGGAAGAGGGGCCGACCAAGGGCAAGATGGATGGATGGCATCCTTGAAGTGACTGGACTGACCTTGAGGGAGCTGGGGGTGGTAACGGCCGACAGGGAGCTCTGGCGTGGGCTGGTCCATGAGGTCACGAAGAGTCGGAGACGACTGAACGAATGAACAACAACAATATGTCTATAATGATATCTATAGGTCAGTAATAATATCCATACATCTGTTGCCCGTTTTTGCTCAAAAGATATTTCAGGAGACTGAAATGGGCCTATCTTAGATTGACACTTTGCCACTTCCGTTGTGTACTGATAGCTTAGAAACCAGCTCTTCCTCTTTTCTTTCTTTCCCATTTCTCCATAATGGGCCACAGCAACGCGTGGCAAGGTACAGCTAGTAAGAAATAAAAACCAATCACAGAGCAGCTTTCATTTTGCCACAACAGAAGAAATAACCAATCACAGCACAGCTTTCCTTTTACCTCAGCATTGTCTGGTTGATACTGACACGATAAATAAATAGCATTAAAGAAGTACCAACCAATCACAGAGCAGCTTTGATTTTACTTCAGCAGTCTGAAGAACACTCGGGCAGCCTTTAGTCTTAAGTCAAAGTACCACATTCATGAATCATCTGTAATGCCTCGCTCATGTTCGAACATAGGCCACAGTTCTCGACATACAATCACAGAACATCAGTCAAAGTTATGCAGTGGCACATAATTAGTAGTATAAAAATTAATGAACAATCTAACTGAGGCAACAATTCTGACTGGACCTCATAAAGGTGAAGGCATACTACTTCCACAAATGCCACTCATTCCGATTGACATGGCGTTCGAGTTCAGATGACTTCATAGAATCATAGAGTCAGAGAGTTGGAAGACACCTCATGGGCCATCCAGTCCAACCCCCTCCCAAGAAGCAAGAATATTTCATTCAAAGTACCCCTGACAGATGGCCATCCAGCCTCTGTTTAAAAGCTTCCAAAGAAGGAGCCTCAACCACACTCCGGGGTAGAGAGTTCCACTGCTGAACGGCTCTCATAGTCAGGAAGTTCTTCCTCATGTTCAGATGGAATCTCCTTTCTTGTAGTTTGAAGGCATTGTTCCGAGTCCTAGTCTCCAGGGAAGCAGAAAACAAGCTTGCTCCCTCCTCTCTGTGGCTTCCTCTCACATATTTATACATGGCTATCGTATCTCCTCTCAGCCTTCTCTTCTTCAGGCTAAACATGCCCAGCTCCTTAAGCCGCTCGTCATAGGGCTTGTTCTCCAGACCCTTGATCATTTTAGTCGCCCTCCTCTGGACACATTCCTGCTTGTCAATATCTCTCTTGAATTGTGGTGCCCAGAATTGGACACAGTATTCCAGGTGTGGTCTAACCAAGGCGGAATAGAGGGGTAGCATGACTTTTTTTGCCGCCACATCACATTGTTGGCTCATGTTTAACTTATTGTCCACAAGGACTGCAAGATTTTTTTCACACGTACTGCTCTCGAGCCAGGCATCATCCCCCATTCTTTATCTTTGCATTTCGTTTTTCCTGCCAAAGTGGAGTATCTTGTCTTTGTCACTGTTGAACTTCATTTTGTTAGTTTTGGCCCATCTCTCTAATCTGTCAAGATCGTTTTGAATCCTGCTCCTGTCCTCTGGAGTATTGGCTATCCCTCCCCATTTGGTGTCGTCTGCAAACTTGATGATCATGCCTTCGAACCCTTCATCTAAGTCATTAATAAAGATGTTGAACAGGACCGGGCCCAGGACGGAACCCTGCGGCACTCTGCTTGTCACTTCTTTCCAGGATGAAGAGGAAGCATTGGGGAGAACCACCCTCCGGGTTCGTCCATTTAACCAATTACAGATCCACCTCACCGTAGTTTTGCCTAGCCCACATTGGACTAGTTTGTTTGCCAGAAGGTCAAACAAACTAGGGGGACCTTGTTGAAGGCCTTACTGAAATCCAGGTACGCTACATCCACGGCATTCCCCGCATCTATCCAGTTTGTAACTCTATCGAAAAAAGAGATCAGATTAGTCTGGCATGACTTGTTTTTGATAAATCCATGTTGACTATTAGCGATGAGTGCATCTATATCTATAAATTTCCTACTGGCGTCCAACGGGGAAGC